TCCCCCTCTTATCTCCTGATAAGACATATCACATTGAGTCACTGCACATGCTCAGTCTAGTGTGTATTGCTACAGGTTTGTTTTTTGTTTTTCTTGGGAGAGTACATGTGATCAGCACAGGGCAAATCAGCACTGCCCAGACAGGTCAGGGGTTCTACATCCTCCTAGAGAAAATTCCTCCTACAAGCTGTAACCAGTGCTCTGCTGGACACTGCTATAAGTCACAAGACTTCTCTAACTGCTGATGAGAAAAGATATTTATCAGTTTATATTTACTAAAATAATTGCTTTACCATGTTCTGTGTACTGTGGGAGACCAGAGTGAATGCAGGGTCCTGGGTTTAGTAACACTTTAAGTATAAGAGTCCTGGGGAAGGGTGGAGCATCCTTTGCAGAGACTGTCATTTTGATCAGCATGGGCAAGGTGAAAGTGTCTATTTTAAAGTTGGCACTTACTTCATTTTCTACTGCGCTCACTGCCATACCAACATTTTTTTTTCTTGGTCTGTACAGTATAGCATTTGCACATGAAGTTTGTATGTGCTGATTTATGGGCAAACAACGTGACAAAAATAAAGACCATCTGTGTAAGTCTATTTTCCAAGTTGCATAAGAGTTGCTTCAGAAGACATCTTCCACCCACCGCCCATCTATGGTTAACCTGGGACTAATCAAACTTACCCCAACAGTCAAGAAGTAAGGCTGCGAATTGCCTTCCCCCATGTCTGTGTGGCCAATACAGGGACCTTTTACAACATCAATAGATGCAAGGTTCTTCAATGTTTACTCAGAGTAACTCCACTTTTGTTGAGAAAAAAACATCTATGATCTATGTACATTGCAAGGGTTATAACAAACTTTGTTGCAGAGTTCTACTTTTTTGTTATTCTGAAGGAATAGCTGTTTGTCTGTGTCCATGTGCTGAGTGAATCTGTATGGGAGTTGTTTTATACTTATCATTCAGCTGCTGCACCTGCAGGGCTCTGAGCAAAGTAGCAGGGTCTGCATCCCTTTTAGACATGATTTCTCTTTGAGATTATCTCACAAAAATGTAAATTTTTGTTGCAGGGGATGCTCAAAATCTGATTTGTATCATAGTGCAGACTTCTGGGAAAATCAACCAATCACGCAAGCAGAAAATTAAATTTCTGGGGGCATTCTGTACAATAGCCTTTCTCAACCAGGGTGCCTTGAGGTTTCTTCAGGGGTGCCTTGGAAAAATGTCTAAAAATTGCCCAAAACGTGTATACAAGCCAGCAGGTGGAACAAGCCTGCCTTTTAATTACACAAAGCCACAGGTTTTCATTGTGCACCATTATGACCTTCTAGCCGCCGGTGTCCTGACAACCAATGACATCATAAGATGTCAACTGCCTGCACATGATCCTAGTTTGACCCTCCCCTACCCCTCTCCATCAGTGCTGGGGTCACATTAGCTCAGTGACAGAGAGAAACTGAGGGAGAAGAGAAACAATGGAATACTAGTCAGTACCAGTGTGTAAAAGTATATATGCTTTGGAAGCATAAATCCCCCTAATGTTGGGTGTCCTATGTGTGTGGATGCTGCTGCATTATAAATAAAACTATTAGAATAATTTTTCACATTTTAGAATGGGGTGCCTCAAGACTGTCCTTAATTTTAAAGGGTGCCTCGGGACTGTCCATAATTTTAAAGGGTGCCTTGACTGAAAAAAGGTTGTGTACAGAATGCTTCCAGGTAGCCATGTTGCTTTGCATTTTGCAGAAAACTACAGCACTTGCAGATTGAAAAGGAAAGGTCATTTTTAATAACATTCAATTACAATATGACTTGTGTTGCAATTGTATATGCTGGGATTTTTTTTTTTCGCCCACAAAAGTGGAGTTACCATTTATTAGCTTTAACCTGAAATGCTTACATAATGTAAATGCCCTTTTAAAAGGCAAAGGGTCTAATAAAACATACTTGTGACTACTCTTTTTTACATGGCATCCATTATAAAATAAGCAATCTTTAAACAGGAACGTGTAGACAGTAACCCTCTTTATGTTTACAGCATTGTTCTTTCATATTTTGCCTTTCCCCCTGTTTATGAGGTCAGGTCTGGAAGATTGCAATCTGCATTGCAGGAATGTAAGGGAGATATACATCTCTTTTGCCCTTCACACTTCAGCTTCTAGTCATAAATATATTACAGGTGGCTTCCTTTTACCTTGAATGCTGGATGTATTTTACATCTGTTGGCTAGGAGACAGAGAACTCATTCTGAGTTGATCATGAAAGTTGTGCAGCAGAGTGCAGGCGGTTGCTTATACTGCTTATGAGAAGTGGACCTGTCATTGCTTGCAAAGTGAAAACACTTTGGACTGACAAAATATGTAGATGTTTCATACAGAAGGAGCCAGTGATATAGCCGGTATGAGGTCTTTTTGTAATAAATTTTAACAAAAAGATTTTGTAAATCCAGCATTGTTAGTCAGTCTGGTGGTGTCATGGATCATTCATTCTGCTTGTTGTCCAGCGGTGGCAATGAGCAGCCCTTACTATTGCATAGAACATTACTTATGTAATGAGATGGGTACCTTACATTGCAGCAGTAAGCCGTACGCCTGAGAAGGATGTCCACGACAGCTTGGACTCACAGGAAGCAGGGGGAGGTTGAATGACCATCATCATTACACCTGAAAAAGGAGCACTATCTAGCAGTGTTGGATCAAAGTCGAGTATTGAAGCCATCAATTGAAGCAATCAAGCACTCAAAAAATGCTTGAATGACTTTAGGAATCAAAGCTTCCAAAGGAAATATCTGTTTGGTTTTATTATTATTATAATTATTATTATTAATATTATAAGAATCGTTTTATTACATTATATTATAATGTATTACATATAATGTTTTATTCCTTAAACCTCCCTTTTTCCCTCCCAGATTCCACTTGCTCCACAACACAATTAGATAAACCTGTGGCATCTAAATTCTGCACTTTTTTTCTTTTCAATAATTTTTATTATTTTTGAAAGAAAGTATACAAAACATACTGCGGTTTTCAAATGTGTTCAATATTCCCTTACACAAAAAAAGAAGCCTTATTTAAAATAAAAAAAAATTAGAGCAGGTATAAGACACATTTCCTGTGTTTGGTAATGTACTTTTTAAAAGTGTAAATGATAATCTATGTCCTTACCCTTAGTCCTCATGCACACAGGGCGTTTTTTACAGCTGCGGTTTTTGGCTTCTGGCCTTTTTTTTTTTTTTCTACAGCTAGTAAACTCTCCAGCATGTCATCCAATGTGTCCATGCATACATAGGCTTTGATCAGCATTTCTTGGCAGGGGCATTTTCTGGCTGGGAAAAGAACCCAGAACTAGTGGGTTTCAAGAGGGGTTTTTTTAGCTGTAAAACACTTTGACGCTGGTAGACACTGTAAAATGCAGAAAACCATAGTTTTGGGGCGTTTTGTGAGCCATTGTTTTTTTTTTTTGTGTGTGTGCTAAAAATCTTAAACACGGAAAAACATGGCTAAACTCGTCAAAACGCAACTAAACGCTTCTCCAAGCTTTGAAGTCTCTATTACAGCCTCTCTAAAATAGCAATCAGTGGAACTCCAGGGTTTCTCCAGAGGTTATTAGGGGTCCCTTGAGCGATGATCAGCTTCTGCCTCTTGGCTGAGTAAGCACTGACATTGATCTTTTTAGCTATCTATAAGGGAAGATTCTTCTCACTGACCACAAATGTAATGTCACAAACAAAAGAGAACAGTGCACAGGCCCTGGTGCAATACCCTTTATTTTATAGTAAAAATAGATAAAAATTAATTCACAAGTAAATCAGAGCTTGTAAATCACATCTTCCCACCACGGTACTGTGCTCCAAAATCCTCTCACCATCCTTGATAGGAGCTCCAGCTGACAATGTGGATATGGCAGCAGTCCTGGACTGAATGCAGACGCCGCTGTGCCTAATTACATACACGCTGACAGTTCACATACATAGCAAGCCTCCCTGGCCGCCAGACGAGCCAGTGCCATGCTTGGGTTCATGTGATGCGAGCAGCTGACTGTTGATGGGGCGTGTGAGCTGCTGTTACAACAACATGTTTTGGAGGGCATGGTCTCCTTTATCAAGTCCCTTTTGGTGCGAGGATTTTGGTGCACAGTACTGTGGTGGCAGGGGTGGACTGACAACTCATGGGGCCCCCGGACAATAGGAGATCATGGGACCCTTATGTCCTCGCCTACACTCAAACCACTCCCAAAAAAGCCTATGAAAGGTACCAGGGGCATCTCATGGGGCCCCCTACTGACCCCGTGCCCTCGGGCAGTGCCCGAGTGTTCGAATGGTCAGTCCGCCCCTGTGTGGTGGGGAGATGTGATTGATAGGCTCTGAATCATTTATGTTTTGTGAATGCATTTTTATCTAGCCTGTGAGCTCTTCCCTTTTTGTTTGTATGTTTTCTTTTTCCAGTGCCCACTGTTTGTGAGAGCAGCTAGATTGTGGTGCTGTTGAAGATTAACCCTTTCAAGTCTGGAATTATATTGAACCTTTGGACCCTCTTAGTGCAGGTCACCTGTGGCGTTTGTGCATGTACTGGCATATGTTTATACATTGGACCACAAATGTAATGTGCATTCTTCCCAGTAACTGTCACACGGATGTGCTGTGAGATGTAGATACTGTATAGTAATTCTTAGCAGAGGTTCCCTGAGCTGAGAAAGTTACTTCAAGGGTTTAAAAAAAAGTTGAGAAAGGGTGGTCTAATGGTTCTTCCCATGTGCCACAAACCTCATGAATACTCCAGAAAATAATTAACAAATATCCTTTAAAATATAACAAACTGTAAAGTAACTAATCTCTTTTCTTCACAAGAGACATACCTACAATTTGCATGGATTAGAGGTTTTTTAGATTTATTCTACTTTGAACAATCATAACTACAACATTTACCAATATTCTTGCTGTCATTCAAGTGTTTTTTGTGTGTATCATCCATCACATCAGTTAATTTTATTGTTGTCCCAGGTATTTAAGAAACCTCATGAGGTTGTGACGGTTCTGTTGATCCAGACACTGGCTGCCATGGTACCATCTATTCCTGTGTGTCTCAGTACAGCCATGGAGCGAGCCAACCCAGAACATAAGCTCAGCAATTTGTTGGAATTGTATGGGACCACGGGTCACTTTGCTAAAGCTCTGGAGGTGGCCATGCTGCCAAGCTTAGGTAAGTTCTCCTGCCTACCTGACTGGCAGATGCTCTTTCACTTCTGTTATGTTTCTTTCAACCACCTGGAGTGAAAGCAAAGCTCTGTGTAAGCTGCTCACCATGGCTCTCACAGGTCTGTGGACTTCCCTGTGTTGATTGTCCCAATGGTGTCACGTGGGTGAGTATTTTTTCCTTCAGCTTCCAGCACTGGAGAGGCAAGGAGTGAAGGAAAGGGAAGTGTATGCTGTTGGAGATGGGAGGGTTGCCATAAATCAATTGCTTTGCCCTGAATTGTCCCTTCACATCTCCTGTTGCTTAAGCTGGCCATAGATGGTTTCAATCTCAGCCACTTCAGCAGGGACCGGCCGAGATTTGAAACCATGTATGGGCAGGTTGAATGTACCCAAGTTGATTGATCAATCAACTTGGGTACAACCAGCCTGTCAGGTTTTACATGCAGTTATTGCTAGCTCTTATTGCTGCTTGCAGTAATCACAGAATGGGTTCCCCCCCCATCAAAACTGACTGCGTTGATGGGGGAATCGAGCGATTTTCTTTCCTGCAACTATGGCTGTAGTCGCACCATATATGGCCAGCTTTGCTGATCATTCTCCCTAACAGCCATAGGTTTATTATTTGTCAGGTAATTAGATTACCAGTCATCAAGGAGGCATGTCTGAAAAGAGGGAGCAAAGCCTTGCTCCTCTTTAAAGATGAATGTGACCCCCACAGAGACATAACACAGAACAAGGCATGCTACCTTCGTCCTGGGGATAGTATCCGCTAAAGGTAGTCTAGAGACAGTGTTGGTGACCAGTCCATTGCCCTCGGCCTGCCGTTTTTTTTTGGGCACAGCTCCCACAGTACAGATCCTCAAAAACAAACTTCAACTAGAAATGTTTAATAATCCCATACATATGGATAGTTCTTAGGAATGACTCATATATCCCTAATAGAGGAAACACTTTCATATTTTTATGGTTTTCTCCATTCAGGTGGTTAAAGTGAGTTTTTGTTTATTGTATCAATGCAATTAGTCCTTTTGTTCCATTCACTTCATGCTCTGTTTCTCCTTTAAGCGCCTTGTTCTTGGCTCTCCAACATTAAAATAGGAAGTTGGTCTGTAGTGTTGGCTGAAGTCCACTGCATAAGGTTCTGGTCTTTCATTACATTGCAGGCACTTGGCTCTACCCCCCCCAACCTCCCCCACCCCCCCCTTCTTTGTGTGAGGTAATGCATTTTCAGCTTATATGTTCTTCCATGCCGTGTCCTTAACACTTGTGTCATTTGAGGTCATAGCTATATTAAAATCGGCAAGGAACTAATGATTTCTTCTACAGAGGGTAATTTCACCTTTGTGGTAGACCTAATACTACAAGCTATAGGAGGAAACTAATGCTTTTTGTAAATAACATTTATTGCCTGTCTTGCTTCCAATCAGCTTCTACAGGCTCTTGAAGTATTTATGCCATGGGGGAAATTTATTTTAAAGCTTTTGAAAGGTTAAATGCCTTCTGCTTTTTTACAACAGTAGACTGTACAGTGGTTTACAGCCTACAGCAAACCGATGAAACAACAAAATTACGACAGCAAAGTTGGGGCTTTTTAGGGGACAGGGATCCAAACCAAATAGTTAATAAATACTGCTTTATTCTAAACAGTAGTTAAAAAGCTAACATACAAAAACATGCTATTCTAAAAAAAAAAACAGCTATCCATATAAAGCAAGTAATACATATGCCTTAACTCCACAAAGATCTTGTGTTTTTCAATAGCTACCAAGCAGTCATATATCCATTCAGAGTTTTTCCTCTATAGTATCCAATATATTGATCAAGTATTCCCCTAGTCATATTGAGGATTACTTTATACAATATATTTGTATTGAAATCGATATCCAGGTCTCTCACCTCTCCTGAGAAAGTAGACTTGTGGTCTAAGAAACACATGAAGGATGGTATATCTCCTTGCGTCAGTGATCCTGAAGCAAGATCTTTGTTAAATTATGTCATTTTGTATCTTTTTTCTTGTTTGTGCATGGATAGCTTCTTTTTTTTTTTTTTTTTTTTTTTTTTTTGGACTAACATATGTTTTATATATGTGAGCTATTTTAACTACTGTTTAAAATAAAGTAATATTTTAATAATCGTTTGGTTTGATCATCGCACCCTAAAAAGTCCCATCTTTGTTGCCATATTTGTATTGTTGTTTCATAGGTTACTGGGTACAAATATTTAGGTATATTTAGCCAATCTATACAGTTTCATAAATGTATTGCTGCAGCATACCAGTTTCTAGAAGGCAGCTGAGGCTTTGCAAGCTCTGGATCCTTGCCTGAAAGCAGTAGTGCTGATATGGACTGGTTGTTTGAGGAGGTTCTTCAATAGAGACGTATTCAGCTCTGTAAGTGTCTGTCTCAGCACCTCTCTCAACAGCCAGTCTTACTATATGGCTCATTGTAGACTGGGGCTCAAGCTTTATACAGTCCTTTTATAAGTGGGAGTAGCTGGTTGTGTTTCACTGCAAATGATGGGCAGCAAGACTCCTGCCCTTCCTTAAACTCATGGGCATTTATCCCTGTATGTCTCAACTTGGTAAATGAGTAGTCACAGAGCAGGTTTAATAATTAACCTCTGAATGGGCCCTTTATGCCCACCTAGGATTCACCCTACTGACCCAAGTGTTCTGTTGGGGTCAGTAAACTGGGTTGGGGTCAGGTCTTTATGGCCACCGAGCAAGTAGTATTAGGGCCACTGTGCCAGAAAGCCTGACATCAAGTGCAGAGTATGAACTAAACCAGACTGCTGCTGTTCTTTTCTTTTAGTTCCTATCAGCAGAACAATCCAGCTGTGAACAGAATGCTGTCCTAAAAACAGATTTGGATATGCATGTAAAGTAGGGAATTGCAGTTCATAGAAACAAGATACACCACCCAATCTGGCTCTTTTTTTGGCTACATCAAGTTGTGTTCCCATGACAGGCTTGAGGGGAAACATTGATTGAACAAGTAGGAAAACCTTTCTGCATCCCAGTACTACTTTGCACTAAGTTGCCTCAAAAGGGTCTTCCTGAACCACCCTAATCTAGCCCCCCCTTTCTTTCAGTTGACATAAATGTACTCGGTATTCAGAGCAAGCAAATGGAAATGATCGATTGGTTGCCACAGGAAGCAGCCCTATTTTCGTAAAATTCAAGCTCCTACTATGTTAACATTCGACCATTGCTGACATTAGCAGTTTTCACAATTCTTTTACTGTATGCATGGTTGCCTGAATTGCAACATACAGTGCCTTGAAAAAGTATTTGTACCCCTTGACATTTTTCACATTTTGTCATGTTACAACCAAAAATGTAAATGTATTTTATGGGATTTTATATGATAGACTAACACAAAGTGCCACATAATTGTGAAGTGGAAGGAAAATGATAAATGGTTTTCAAAATTGATTACAAATATCTGAAAAGTCTGGCTTGCATTTGTATGCAGCACCCTGCACTCTGATACCCCTAACTAAAATCTAGTGGAACGAACTGCATTTAGAAGTCACCTAATTACTAAATAGAGTCCACCTGTGTGTAATTTAATCTCAGTATAAATACAGCTGTTCTGTGAAGCACTCAGAGGTTTGCTAGAGAACATTCGTGAACAAACAGCATCATGGAGGCCAAGGAACACACCAGACAGGTCAGGGATAAAGTTGTGGAGGAGTTTAAAGCAGGGTTAGGTTATTAAATAAAAAATATCCCAAGCTTTGAACATCTCTTGGAGCACTGTTCAATCCATCATCCGAAAATAGAAGAGTATGGCACAACTGTAAACCTACCAAGACATGGCCGTCCACCTAAACTGACAGCTCAGGCAAGGAGAGCATTAATCAGAGAAGCAGCCAAGAGGCCCATGGTAACACTGGAGGAGCTCCAGAGATCCACAGCTCAGGTAGGAGAATCTGTCCACAGGACAACTATTAGTCGTGCACTCCACAAATCTGGCCTTTATGGAAGAGTGGCAAGAAGAAAGCCATTGTTGAAAGAAAGCCATAAGTCCTGTTTGAAGTTTGGGTGATGCCATGTGGGGAACACAGCAAGCATGTGGAAGAAGGTGCTCTGGTCAGATGAGACCAAAAGTGAACTTTTTGGCCTAAAAGCAAAACGCTATGTGTGGCGAAAAACTAACACTGCTCATCGCCCTGAACACACCATCCCCACCGTGAAATGTGGTGGCAGCATCATGTTGTGGGGATGCTTTTCTTCAGCAGAGACAGGGAAGCTGGTCAGAGTTGATGGGAAGATGGATGGAGCCAAATACAGGTCAATCTTAGAAAAAAGCCTGTTAAGAGTCTGCAAAAGACTCGAGACTGGGGCGGAGGTTCACCTTCCAGCAGGACAACGACCCGAAACATACAGCCAGAGCTACAATGGAATGGTTTAGATCAAAGCATATTCATGTGTTAGAATGGCCCAAAGTTCAGACCTAAATCCAGTTTAATTGGATTCTCATAGATTGGGAATCTGTGGCAAAACTTGAAAATTGCTGTTTACATCCATCCAATCAGACAGAGCTTGAGCTATTTTGCAAACAAAAAAAAAAAAATGGGCAAAGATTTCACTCTTTTAGATGTGTAAAGGTTGTAGATACATACTGAAAAAGACTTGCAACTGTGATTGCAGGGAAAAGTGATTCTACAAAGTATTGACTCCGGGAGGCTGAATACAAATTCACGCCACACTTTTCAGATATTTGTAAAAAAAAATTAAAAAAAAAAATCATTTTCTTTCCACCTCACAATTATGTGCCACTTTGTGTTGGTCTATCACATAAAATCCCAAAAAAATACATTTATGTTTTTGGTTGTAACATGACAAAAAGTGGACAATTTCAAGGGGTATGAATACTTTTTCAAGGCACTGTATGTCTGCAGTAAGTGAATGGGTTTGCATGAGTCACATTTTCAGCAGGCTTATATTAGCAGTAGCAGATTAGAAAGGTATAATTAACTAAAACCACTTCAAAGGGAAAGGTTCTTGAACTATACAGGAAAGCCATGTTTTAGATAAAACAGCTGTAAGCACTGCACTCATTCAGGCATAAAAAAGGACAAACATAGTCTTCTAATTTTAAACTGAAACCTAAAATGCAGCATGTTCTACTTTTTTGTTGACCGCACTGGAATGCACTGCACTGGTGTAATTTAGGGCTATTGAAGTACATGGAAAACACTGTGCATGCATTTTGATGCAGATTAATAATGCACTGGACTGCATCTGGTGTGAGCCAGCCCTTAAACTGCCTTCTAACACCTGTGTTGGTCTGGCCATACATTATACAGTTTTCTTACAATTTCCTTTAGGTTTACCTTCAACTATATAGTGCAAAGTCCTGCCTTATTGGATACAATTTAAAGTGTTGTTTTAGGTTTTACCTCATATTATATGGATTTTGGAAAATTGTATAATGTTTGACCAGCCTAGGGATTAAACAGCCTTTTCTAACTTACAATATCTGATCTCTATTCTTTAGATCTAGCAATAACATGTAATGCCTGACTGGATACTGAATGATTGGTTGGTTTGGGTAGGTTTAGTTAAATCTGCTGCAGTGGGCTCCAAGAAAAAGTGGTGCTTAAAGTGATTTTTAAACTCTATATAGTGTTTTTTTTTTTTTTCGTTTTTTCTTCAAGTAACAAACTGGCTTATATTTATCTGCTCTGTGCGATGGAATTGCAGTGAGCAACCCCGATCCTCCTCCCTTCGGGTCCCCCGCCAGTGCTTCTGGCTCCTCCTCTTTAAGTGCCCTCCTAGCAAGCCGCTTTCTATGGGGGCACTCATGTGGGCTCTGTGTCTGTATCCATAGACACAGACAATGGGCCTCAGCCCTGGTCCCCACCCCATCCCGCTCCATCATCGACCATCACACATATAAGAGCTTGTTAGATATCTCATTGCAAAGCCGTATACGTTAATGTGGGTTTGATCCTCTTTTGTGGTTATAACAGCCTTCACTCTTCTGGAGAGTCTTTCCACAAAATATGGGACTGTATCTGTGGAAATTTGTGTCCATTCAGTCACAAAAAGTAAGGTATTATATTGGATAAGAAGTCCTGACTCACATTCGGCATTCTAATTCTTCCCAAAGGTGTTCAGTAGGGTGAAAGTTAGGGCTCTGTGTAGGCCACTTTAGGTTCCTCTGCACTAAACTCTTCATTTCCATGCTGGAACAGAAAAGGACTATACTGTTACCACAATGTTAGAAGCACACAACTGGCTAAAACAATGGAACTCTTTTCGGAAGGGAGTTCACATACTTTTGCCCATATACATAGGTCGGTGTGATGGTCAGATGCCTACAAACGTTTGGTTACATAGTGTATATATAAAGAGTAAGGTAAGTGAGCGCAAACTAGCGGAATAAGCAGCTAACATACAGGGTAATCCTCAGTACCTTAAACGTGAAATATATCAAAAATGGGGTATGCAGCGCTAGAAGTAAATTTCAAACCAAGAGGGTGTCACCATATACAGTAACAACAATATCGGACATGTTTCAAGCGAACGCTCATTTTCAAAGGGGTCGTTGAAAACGAGCGTTTGCTCGAAACATGTTAGGGGATCCACCCAATTGACGCCTACACCACCAGGGAACCACTAACCACCAGGGGAATCTTTATACCAGACCTGGGTGGCTGAGAATCTGGTCATATATATATTTTTCTATTGATGAAACCACTAACCACCAGGGACATTTAAAACAGACCTGGATGCATGTCCTTCATGCCGATGGAACCACTAGCCACCAGGGTTCCTATGTGTGAGACCTGGATATATCGGTTTATGCTGATGTGAGTCCCTTCCTTTTATCTGCTTATTTTACTTTGAATAAACGTATTTCACCATTGATACCTTCTTGCCTCCTGGCTCGTTTTTAATGAGCTTTGCAAGGTGGTGATCTGGAATAAGGAATCATTGGATGCCTGGACAGCGTTGGACCTACTGGTGAGTCTGAAAGGACCCCTAAAAAGGTGTGCACCACCATCCCTGAATGCCCGCTATGGTAACCGGATACTACTCATGCTGCTGACCAGACCCTGATGTCCTGATGTGACCATATGCTGCTCATGCTGCTGACCAGACCATGATGCCTTGTTGCTGAGGATTTACATACAATCCCTATATTGTATGTATTTGTGGTAAGCGCATAACCGCACTATTTTTTACATTCTATCGAGCTGAATTTGGAACAACATAGAATCATATCCATTTGCCTTCCGGATACACCATATGAACAATCCATGTCCGATATTGTTGTTACTGTATATGGTGACACCCTCTTGGTTTGATATTTACTTCTAGCGCTGCATACCCCATTATATAGTGTATGGTTGCTTCATCAAGCAAAATGTTGTGTGATTTCTGATTGATGTATATTCATAAATAGATACACATATACACTCACAGCCCACTTTATTAGCTACACCTGTTAAATTGCTTGGTAACACAAATTGCTAATCAGCCAATCACATGGCAGCAACTTAATGCATGTAGACATGGTGAAGACGACTTGCTGAAGTTCAAACCGAGCATTGGAATGGGTAAGAAAGGGTATTTAAGTGACTTTGAACATGGCATGTTTGTGGGTGCCAGACAGGTTGGTCTGAGTATTTCAAAAACTGCTGATCTACTGGGATTTTCATGCACAACCATCCCTAGGGTTTAAAGAAAATGGTTCGAAAAAGAGAAAATATCTAGTAAGCAGCAATTGAGTGGATGAAAATGCCTTGTTGATATGAGAGGTCAGAGCAAAATGGGCAGACTGGTTCGAGATGATAGAAAGGCAAGAGTAACTCGTGTCAATATGGAGCAAAATCTCTGAGGAATGTTTCCAACACCTCATTGAATCTATGCCATGAAGAATTAAGGCAGTTCTGAAGGCAAAAGGGGGTCCAACCCGGTACTAGCAAGGTGTACCTAATAAAGTGGCCTGTGAGTGTGTACTGAGCTTGTAAGAAATTAATCATATGATGACTGTGATCTGGTTTCTGTGTTAGGGGAGCACAATTTGGTGAAGTTGGCAGAACTGGTAGAAGCTCTATATGGAGCCTATAAACCTTTCCAGCTGCAGTATGGTGACCTGGAGGAGTCTCATCTTCTTATACAAATCAGTGCCATCCCATTGGTAAGAACGTCAAACCTGCTATGGGAGCTGACTGAACATATGAGAAGTAATGTTGCATTATTAAAAGCCAGTCAAACTATAATATGGCATTTCAGTTGTAAGTTTACTGTTAAGCTGAATCCCATGCTGGTCATCCTGGATACCAGTAATTAGATGTCACCATCAACATAACCAGCTTCTTCTGGAGTGAGCTATGGACATGAGACGTCTGTAACTGTTTTTTTAGCCAAATTACACGACAATTGTATTTCTATGGGAGCAGTAACCTGCTTGTCAGGTGCAGCTGGGGGTGGAAAATGGACTCGGCAAGTAAAAAAAACTCCTGATAAGTCCATTCCAGCTTGTGACATCTGTTTACCAAGTAAAGGAAGTAAAGTGGTTGGTTTTCATGTTTTCAACAGCTGCCTGTGTTAAACAAAATCCTAGCTTGCAAGTAGAATTGGTGCTACCTTTACTGTCAGATAGATCTTACTGTGGACGTTTATGCCTTTTAGGAACATGGGGAGGTTCTAGACTGTGTCCAAGAACTCTCACACTCGGTATCTCGGCTCTTCAGCCTGGCTTCAGGTGCTGTGGAGCGTTGTATCAAACTGACAGATGGCCTTGGAGTCTGTGGTCTTCTGCAAGCACTACAAGCTTTATTTAAAAAGTAAGTATGACTTTTCATTGGCACATCTGCTGTATATATAGACTCTGCATTATTGTGTGTGTATATACATTACTTTTTTTAAAAAAAATGATTTTTTTATTTTTGAAAAAGAGCGGTTTTTGTTCTTCTTTGTACAGAGACAGACAACTAAAACACACAAAGTATTACTCCCAACACCTAAAATGAGGATAGTATCAAGCAGCACATAGACAATTGGACTTTTTCACATAAAGAAGAGAATTTAGAGACTTTAAAAGAGAAGTATGGGGTATTTAAAAAAAAATTATACTCACCTAGGTGGATGGAGGATCGGTCCCCCACTGCTTCTAAGACTGAGAACCAAGCAATCAAAGGCCTCTAATCACTCATTTCTCAGTCTTCAGAGCCTAATGAACTACTCTCCTGTGATCCACAGGAGAAGTAAGGCCAAAAAAGCTTTGGCCCCACTTCTTTAAGGAAAAAGAAAAATAGACACCCCTGTGTTCAATTTCTCGGTTATTATAACCAATCATAAATGCGGTAAAGTTATTTTGAGCACCCAGCCTCAACCCTCAGAGAGTCCAAAGACGAAAAAAAAGGGGGGGGGGGGGAGTAGAGGGGCAAGGATGTTATGATATAATCCGTTGAGTAGCAGCTTGCTATGTATCCCAGACCTCATAGAATTTATGATGCACACACCTCTTTTCATACATGATTTTTTCAAAAGCAAGAAGGTCATGGACTTCAACAAATCATTCTCTTAGTGTAGGGGGAAAGGCTGAGACCCATCTGAGCACCCCCCAACATACGGGCTGCAAATAACAAACTGGCTGCTGATAATGTTGCAGATGGGTCTAAGTTAGCTGTATCAAATTACCTAAGGTACAGTAAATGTTAGGAACAAGTTACTATACAGTATGGATTGAATTATTTGAGTGATCACAGAGTCCCAGTACCATACTAATTTTGGGCCTCTCTAAAGCAAATGTATGAAGTCACCAGGGGCTGCTCCACATAAAAAAAATATATTTTAATAAAAAGGTTGAGGCAGTATATGAAACGCCTTAGAAGTGTGCCTTAGTGTTGAAAGTCAAAATTAGCACATTCAAATGCCTGAGTTTTTCAGGTTTTCTTGGACACCCTGCAGCAAATGCCTTCTGAAGTTAGTGGTACCAGTTGGTAGTGCCTAGAATTCAGCTAGTTAATTTAAAAGTGTGTGTGTGTGGGGGGGGGGGGGGGGGGGGAGTCCATGGCAGTGGAATTTGTTCTTTAGGCAACATACCATGCTGATTACTACGGTCAGATCAATTTATAAATCAGTAGAGTGATGTAGAGGTGAATCCATAGTTTTGCCAAACGTAGGTTAGAGGTTTAGGACCTGGTTCAGTGTAACCGTTGTGTATTTTATTTATTTATTTCAGGTACTTATATATCGCCGTCAATTTTACGCAGCGCTTTACACATATATATTATACATTCACATCAGTCCCTAACCCTCAAGGGGCGTACAATCTAAGTGTAGAGGGTAGATCTGAGTTTGATAAAGTGAAGAAATTATGTAACCCTTTGTAGACATTTCAGCTGTGTTTAAATCCAGAGATTTTACTATTTTACCAGAGAGGGTTACTCCTCCCAAAATTGATTATTCAGTATTTAGTAAATGGTAGAGAAACAAACCACCTAACATTATCTTCTATCTCGGTGAGTGTATTGGTAAGATCTGTACACTTTTACTCCTGGCTTTGCATACCTGCTGTGGCCATTATGAGGGGTTTTAACTCTCCTAGTTGTTTTAGTTTATATGATTGAGAAGGCAATGGAAGGTGGAAGAATGCTCACAGATGGAGAAGAACACCCAAAACACATAGGTGAAGTGGAACAGGATTTATGTTAAAGTAGAACTATAGGCAAAAATTTTTTTAATTTTGGATAGAGCAAGGGAGGGTCATAACCTCTGTCAGATTTTTTTCTGCCATCTGTGTCCCATTGCTGAGATTTCCCTTCACTTCCTGCCCATAGCCAAACAGGAAGTGAGAAGAAATCCCAGAAAAGTAAGGGAATTCCTTGGGGGCCAGGGGTGACCAGAACTAGTGTCCCCGTTGGAAGATTTCCCCACTTTAAAATTTCAGGGGACATCCCATAATTTGGGAATTTCTTTTACTTTCACTTTCAATGATAAGGATAAACACGACAAATAGAGAGTGAATCTCCTTAATGGGGGTACAGACAGCAATAAATATCTTTTCCTTTAGTTATACTTTGAGATTTCACTGTTCGAGTATCCATGAGTGCACTTTTTGTGGCTGAAATATGAATTTTGCGTATACTGACCCTTTTAGTCCCTTTTTTTTTAATCCATTACCATTAGCTTTTACAAGGTCTATCAACTGTCATAAAATTCTATATGCTTCTGCTATTTCTCCTATGTGCAGTGAAGGTATTCTCTTGCGCTTTATGGTACATATCAAGGAGCCTCACTTTTAGTTGTAAAGGCTCAAGGTTTTTTACCTTCATGCATTCTATGCATGAAGGTTAAAAACCTTCTGTGTGCAGCAGCCCCCCTAATACTTAACCGAGTCCATTGCGATCCACTGATATGCGCAAGAGCCTCGGCTCTCTGGGGACTCTTCCTCCTCATTGGCTGAGACAGCAGTGGGAGCCATTGGCTCCTGCTGTTTTCAGCCACAGCCAGTGAGCCAAAGAGGAGAGAGGGGGGTGTGGCGGGACGGAGCTGAGCTGTGGCTCTGTGTGTGAATGGACATGCAGAGCAGCAGCTCCGGAGCGAGCCTGCTTGGGTGCTCCCATAGCAGGCTGCTTACTCTGGGGGCACCTGGCAGGAGGGAGGGTCCAGGAGCGCCGGTGGGGAACCGGAGAAGAGGAGGATTGGGGCTGCTCTGTGCAAAACCACTGCAGAGAGCAGGTAAATATAACATGTTTGTTATTTTTAAAAAAAATTGCCTTTAATATCACTATAAGTAATGGTTGTTATTTTAAGTTTTGCTTAAAGGAAATCTTTTATGAACCTGGGCAAGTCTGAGTGTATGAATGAAAAAAGGAAAAAAAAAACGGAGCAGAAGATACTTACAGTGACAACAAATTGTGTTGTGTGTTTTTTTGTTTTTTTTAAATATTCATGATTTGGTATTCTTTGTGAAACAGATTTTCTCTGAACTTCACCTCATTAACTAAGCAAAGTGAACATACATACAGTACTTTACTTCTTTAGTGTATCTTCCACAGTGATTTGTAGTTTAGCCACTAGAAAGAGGAGACACTTTGCATGACTTTCCATCTTTAACAGCTGTAGCTGTCACGGCCCCTTCTCTCCACCTTCCCCAAATGGAGAATGCCTTGCATTCATTAAAAAAAATACAAGGTGTTCTCTAAATGGCAGCAGTGTAAAGTAGGTGACCTTCTGTGGTCAGTGTGCAGCAGAGCAGCCACTCGGCACAGATTCCATAATTTTGGCCCTACTGCATGGATATCCGCTTCTCCAGCCATCCCTCAGGTATGAGATATGCGTACTTACATTGGTCCAAGGTGGACCAACGTAACTATGTAATTAAGATCATACCTGGAGTTCAGCTTTGAATAAAATGCTAACATATGCAATGTCTGTTGCATCAGCACTTTGTCCCAGGCAGTGTAGCAATTGGCTCTTTTCCAGGATAGCTGTCGTGCCAGAATAAATCGGGTGCGGTTAACTTATTGGGGGATATCGTTATCAGCATTTACTGGCATATCTCCTATTAAACAAAGGCAAAACCCAGCTTTGCTTACATTGCTGGCAATCACACTACATTTGGTGCCGCTTGACATACAGGTGTGTAAGAAGCGTCGCGTTATGGTTTTGCTCCAGCTCCTTTCATTTGTTGTGTTCTCTATTTCCCAGATATGTGTCAGATTACACAAACACGCTACAGTCAATAAGGAAGAAGTACAAATTGGACAATGTGCCTTCTGATTCCCTATTCCTGGAAGACTGGGCAGCCTTCCAAAACTCAGTCAGGTAATGTTCCTTGGGCAGAGACTTGTGTGTGCGGTTTGTAGGGTATATAGTGGAAAGATTGCATTCTTTTTGACTTAAGTTGCCAAACTCAAAAAAACAGTGAATGTGAAAATAATGCTGTGGATAAACTGCTAATACTGGAAACAAAGAGAAAGCATGAGACACCAATGAGAAGAGCCCATTTCTCTTTAGGCCTGAGGTTGTAGACCGAAGCCGGACGTTCCTTTTTACTTCTTATTCTTCTCTGGTATCTTATCCTGTCACCTCTCGTCTCTGCTGTTCTCTTGTATCGCCTCTCCTCTACTCTCTCTATCACAATTCCTCTTGTTGCTCTTATTTTTTCCCATATCACATCTCTACTCATATCTCTCATATTTTGTGTTTTTTTTTTTTTTCTATACATTTTTTAAATTTTTTTTTTTTGAGGAGGAGGGGGGGTTGTTTTGGGTTTTGTTTTTTGGGGTTTTTTTTTTTTGGGCTAGTTTTTTGTCTGAGTGTAGATCTAGGTCTGTCCCAAGCCACTTACTGTTGACTGACTCACTACCTCTGCTGGGAATCTTTATCAAACATCAACTACCCTTTCTGTAAAATAGTACTTTCTAAGGTTAGCCTTTCTCCAGTTAGTTTGAAGTTATGTTTCCATGTTCTTGATCTTGGTTTCATATTAAAAATACTTCCTTTTGTTATCTCAACTTAATGTTGATAAATGTAAAGTTATGTTCTCCGGGCTAAAAACATGCATGCACCATACATACTAGGGAGAGTACAAGTGGGGAAGTCAGTGGTGGAGAAGGATCTGGTTGATCATAGACTTAGTAATAGGATGCAATGCCAAGCTGCAGTTTCTAAAGCTATCAAAATACTTTCAATATTATAAGAGGTAGAGACTCCAGAAAAGAGACATCATTTTACCCCGATACAAATCATTAGTATGACTTCATCTGGAATATGCAGTTCGGTTTTGGGCACCAATTCACAAAAAGAACATTGGGGAACTGGACAACGTGCAGAAAAGGGCAACCAAACTGATACGAGGCATGGAAGGGCTGAGCTATGAAGAACGGTTAGCTGAACTAAATTCTCTCTTTGTAAGAGAAAATGATTGTTGAAAATTTGGGGGGAGAGGCAGATAAGGAGACCTGAGATTGCCTGAGTAACGCACGGAGTCCCAGATGCACAGGCTGTGAATCATTAGGGGGCTAAGGGAAGCGGGACGAAGCTTATGGGGGAGCCAAGTGAGTGCCGTCATAGGGACCGGGGAGCAGTTAGGGTTCTCTAGAAGTACCCAAAAGGGGATGTTCGTGGAAGCATGAAGAACAGAGAGTTGAGAAATTTGTGCTGCCATGTAATCTTTGAAGACATTAGGGACTCCCAAACCTCCACTCAGCCTATGGGTGTACAGGATGTGGCGTGACAGGGTAGGCCCAAATAAAGGAGAGAAGTCTATTCTGTAGCAAGCGTGAGAAAAAGGAGGGCACTTGAATCGGTAGGGTTCTGAAATAGTATAATATTTTACGGAGCAGAGTCATTTTAACCGTGTGAATACACGCAATCCAGGAAAGGGAAGGGAATTGCCAAGAGTGCAAAAGAGAGGTGACGTGTCTCAGTAATGGGTAGTAATTGGTCGCAAAAAGAGTAGCATAGGAAGAAGTTAGCTTGATATCCTGATAATCTAGTGAGGAAACCGCCCAACGATAGGGGTGGCTAGCCTGAGTGTGTGTCACCATAGATGGAGAGAGTGAGACATTCAAGGCTGTAGTTTTTTGAGGGTTAATGTGGAGACCTGACAATACGGAAAAACGAGTTAGAATAGATTGCAGGTTCAGAAGACTAGTGATGGGGTTGGTTAACTTTAGGAGAGCGTCGTTTGCAAAAAGGTTCATCTTGTATTGTGTGCCTGCATAGGGAATACCTGTAATTAGAGATGAGCGAATCGAACTTGGCGAAGTGGAATTCGTTTCGAATATTAGGAAAAACTCGATTCGCGCCGAATCCGAAAATTGGCAAACTTCGGATGCATAAATCGAATTTTCCCCGATCGGCCGATTTTCATCCCTTCTACAGCCGGCAAAAAGTGTCCCTGCAGAGAGCTCCGCTATTTCTGACAGTTCTCTGACAGTTCCTTCACATTTACAGCGGTTGAAACATTGTATCTATTTGTTTCCATTTAGGATACAGATGTTTTTATTCGGAAACAAATAGATACAATGTTTCAACCGCTGTAAATGTGAAGGAACTGTCAGAGAACTGTCAGAAATAGCGGAGCTCTCTGCAGATACACTTTTTGCTGGAATGGAATTCTTCTTATTTTCATCCTTCTTCTTCTTCTTCTTCTTCTTCTTCTTCTTCTTCATCCTCTTCTTCTTCTTCATCCTCTTCTTCTTCATCCTCATCCTCTTCTTCTTCATCCTCATCCTCTTCTTCTTCTTCTTCATCCTCATCCTCTTCTTCATCCTCGTTCTCTTCTTCTTCATCCTCATCCTCTTCTTCTTCTTCTTCATCCTCATCCTCTTCTTCTTCTTCATCCTCATCCTCTTCTTCATCCTCATCCTCTTCTTCTTCTTCATCCTCATCCTCCTCCTCCTCTTCTTCTTCTTCTTCTTCTTCTTCTTCTTCCTCACCATCATCCTCTTCTTCTTCATCTTATTCATCCTCATCCTCTAATTCATCCTCATCCTCTTCTTCTTCTTCATCCTCTTCTTCTTCTTCTTCTTCTTCTTCCTCTTCCTCTTCCTCTTCTCTTCTTCTTCTTCTTCTTCTTCTCTTCTTCTTCTTCTTCTTCTTCTTCTTCCTCATCCTCATCTTCTTCTTCCTCATCCTCTTCTTCTTCTTCATCCTCATCCTCTTCTTCTTCTTTCTTCATCCTCATCCTCTTCTTCAAATTATTCTTCCTCATCCTCATCCTCTTCTTCTTCATCCTCATCTTCTTCTTCTTCCTCATCCTCTTCTTCTTCTTCTTCCTCATCCTCTTCTTCTTCTTCATCCTCATCCTCTTCTTCTTCTTCATCCTCATCCTCTTCTTCTTCTTCATCATCTCATCCTCTTCTTCTTTCTTCCTCATCCTCTTCTTCTTTATCCTCATCTTCTTCTTCTTCATCCTCATCTTCTTCATCCTCATCCTCTTCTTCTTCATCATCCTCATCCTCTTCTTCTTCATCCTCATCCTCTTCTTCTTCTTCTTCTTCATCCTCATCCTCTTCTTCTTCATCCTCTTCTTCTTCATCCTCATCCTCTTCTTCTTCATCATCCTCATCCTCTTCTTCTTCTTCTTCATCCTCATCCTCCTCTTCTTCTTCTTCTTCATCCTCATCCTCTCTTCTTCTTTCTTCTCATCCTCTTCTTCTTCCTCATCCTCTTCTTCTTCCTCATCCTCTTCTTCTTCTTCATCCTCATCTTCTTCTTCATCATCCTCTTCCTCTTCTTCATCCTCTTCTTCTTCTTCCTCATCCTCTTCTTCTTCTTCATCCTCATCCTCATCTTCTTCTTCATCCTCATCCTCATCTTCTTCTTCATCATCCTCATCCTCCTCTTCTTCTTCTTCTTCATCCTCATCCTCTTCTTCTTCCTCATCCTCTTCTTCTTCTTCTTCTTCCTCATCCTCTTCTTCTCCTTCTTCTTCTTCTTCTTCTTCCTCATCCTCTTCTTCTTCTTCATCCTCATCTTCTTCTTCTTTCTTCATCATCTTCTTCTTCTTCTTTCATCATCCTCTTCCTCTTCTTCATCATCCTCTTCCTCTTCTTCTTCTTCCTCATCCTCTTCTTCTTCTTCATCCTCATCCTCATCTTCTTCTTCATCCTCATCCTCTTCTTCTTCCTCATCTTCTTCTTCTTCTTCCTCATCCTCATCCTCTTCCTCTTCTTCATCCTCATCCTCTTCTTCTTCTTCTTCATCCTCATCCTCTTCTTCTTCATCCTCATCCTCTTCTTCTTCATCCTCTTCTTCTTCTTCATCCTCATCCTCTTCTTCTTCTTCTTCATCCTCATCCTCTTCTTCCTCATCCTCTTCTTCTTCATCCTCATCTCTTCTTCTTCTTCTTCTTCTTCTTCTTCTTCTTCATCCTCATCCTCTTCTTCTTCTTCATCCTCATCCTCTTCTTCTTCTTCTTCTTCTTCTTCTTCTTCCTCATCCTCATCTTCTTCTTCCTCATCTTCTTCTTCTTCTTCTTCTTCTTCTTCCTCTTCCTCTTCCTCTTCCTCTTCCTCTTCCTCTTCCTCTTCCTCTTCCTCTTCCTCTTCCTCTTCTTTTCTTCTTCTTCTCCTCCTCTTCTTCCTCATCCTCTTCCTCATCCTCTTCTTCTTCTTCCTCTTCTTCTCTTCTTCTTCTTCCTCATCTTCTTCTTCTTCCTCTTCTTCCTCTTCCTCTTCCTCTTCCTCTTCTTCTTCCTCTTCTTCTTCCTCTTCTTCCTCATCCTCTTCTTTTTCATCCTCATCCTCTTCTTTTTCATCCTCATCCTCTTCTTCATCCTCTTCTTCTTTTTCTTCTTTTTGTCTTCCTTTTGCAGGTCACTGCTGATGCGCAGATTTTTTATCGGCAAAAAATCGTCCGATTTGCCCACTATTGCCGCGAAAATCGGCCGATCGGTAAAATCGGCCGATTTTTTTTCCATCTTTACAGAAAAAAAAAAACGGCCAAAATACCGAAAAACGGGCCGACCAAATAGCCCACTAACGATCCGAAAATCGGCCGATTTTCGACCCATCTATGGCCTGCATTAGGGCCACAGAGACGTTAGGGCCACAGAATCGTTACTCAGGGACACAGAATTCTTACTCAGGGACACAGAATTCTTACTCAGGGACACAGAATCGTTACTCAGGGAGGGACACAGAATCGTTACTCAGGGACACAGAATCGTTACTCAGGGACACAGAATCGTTACTTAGGGCCACAGCTATCAAAGAATCGAAAATTTAAAGTGACATACACCCTTTTTTTTTTTTGGTGGCTGTCGTGCACAGTTGGTGCTGCAGTTTGCCGATTGTGCAAAATAAACTGACTTTCTGCTTCACAACCACTATTGTACGTTCAAAGAGTTAAATCCATTTACACACCGGCTGGCGGTAATATTTTTTGGGTGATTAGTGCATTCCAGTGACACAAACGTACAGTTTCCAGCCAACGGCAAGCTGCAATTGACCGATTGTGCTAAATAAACTGACTTTCTGCTTCACAACCACTATTGGCCTTCAATTGAAGCTGCTTCCGCTCTGCCACTCTGCCATTGGACTCTTGATAGTCGTCTCCCCACGCTGCTGCTGGGGGGACTTTTTAACATAGGCCTCTGTATGGCCTTCAATTTAAGCTGCTTACGCTTCGCCACTCTGCCATGGGCCCCTGTACCGCCTCCTCATGCTGCTGCCAGGTCCAGAGTGTGTCATGGGTCCTGTACGGCCTCCCATTGCTGCTGTCTCCATCGCCACACTCTGCCATGTGCCACTTTCAGGTCTCCTCACACTGCTGGTGGTTTCCATTTTTGTCATAGGGTGCTGTATGGCCTCCCATTGCTGCTGCCTCCACCGCCACACTGTGGCTCCACACTCTGGTTTTGGCCCCGTGACTGCCCAAATGAGTGAAGTGTGCGGTGATTCTAAGATCGACGGCACTCATCTGCATGTCATACTGACTGACAGTATTATTTCTCTTCCCCAGCAGACTCCAAGGGCATTTAAATTAAAGGTACAGTGTTCTGCACTAATATAAAGGCTCTCTGAAGCCTAGAAACCCTTTTAATAAGTTAAATTCGCAGCGAATAAATTCGCATCGAATCGAATTTATTCCGCAAATTCGGCGAATCAGCCGAATCGAATTTTTGAATAATTCGCTCATCTCTACCTGTAATGTTAGGGCTATCTCGAAGTGTTATGGCTAAAGTTTCAAGTGCCAAGATAAATAAAATCAGAGAAAATGGACACCCCTGCCTAATGCCTCCATATATAGGGAAAGGAGTAGAAAGGTAGCCGAAGTATTTAACCTGAGCCGTAGGGGAGGAATAAAGAGTGGAGATCCAAGTCAAAATTTAATTCCCAAAGCCCCATCTCTCCAAATCATAATGGAGATAATCCCAAGATAGGGAATCAAAGGCTTTGTATATGTCAAGGGAGAGTAAAAAGCCTGGGATCTTGTGATGAATCAATAGATGGATCAAGTGGATCACTTTGCGAATGTTATTACTGGCTTGACGGCCGGGCATGAAACCCACCTGGTCCTAGTGAACAAGGGAGTGTAAATATTTGTTAATGCGGAAACTTAAAATCTTCCCCAAAATCTTCATGTCTTCATTCAGTAAGGAGATGGGACAGAAGGCCTGTGGATCAAAGGCCTCTTCGTGAGATTTGGAAATCATGGTGAAAATCTTTCAACTGCTTGATGGGTGAGTTGAACCCTTGTACGTTTTGGGAATAGAGTTTGAGGTCTAGTGGCCATAGCGAGTGGCTCTTTGCTTTCTCCCAGACACGGTCCGGCAAGTTGGACAGCGGCCTGGACGGAGAGGAACCCGGTCATTCGTTCAGTCTTCTTATTGTTTGAACGGGGCCTTAGGCTGAGACTGGATTTGTTACAGTCCATCCCATCTAACATTTTATCTCATCTCTCTTCTCCTATGTCCTCCTGACCTTTCTCTGCTCTCCTCATTTTTTCTAGCAGTTCATTAAATACATTTATGTTGAGGCGCCAGTTTAAATGGAGTTCCTACAACTTGATTTGAAGAGTTGGCACAGCCTTCCCATCTGCGTGTATGATTTATGAAGTATTATGTGAAATGAATAATTGAGTTTTTGCAAGTAGTAAATCTTTCATTTGTAAACCTATTTGGTGAAAATAATTGGTGCAGTTTGGGTACTATTCAAAGTACACATATTTTCCTTACACCTTTTATGAGCAATTGCATACAATGAAATCTTGCTTCCAGATAAATCTGAGCTCATAAAAAAAAAAAGACTTCAAGCAGACAACACAATCTCCCCCTAAAAGTAAAACTAGGGTAATTGTTCTGGTAAATGTTAGTCTACAGTGTGCAACTTCTTTCATTTACATAATTTTCTGCCCAACATTTGAAATTTCACAAATAGCTGACAGAATTAAAGTATATCTAAAACTAAAACTTTTTTTTTTTTTATTTTTCATTTTGGATGCTGTAGTAAAGGGTTAAAACTGCTGTCAGTATCTTCTTGTTTTTAATCCGTGTCTCATTAGGAAAATATCCCTTCACTTCCTGTTTTTGTAGACTCAACAGGAAGTAAGAGGATATCTTTCCAAAGTGAGGGAAGCCCTGTTTTGGACAGTTGACTGTTATGATCCGCCAGGTGGTGCCTCTGGCTGCCCACTTGACAGACCTACCCAAAGCGTGGAGTCTAAGTCCCTGTCTGTGCTTTCACCAGGGCCCCTGATGGTGGGGATGGATTTGTAACAGACCAGGACCAGGTCACGACCTCCTAGCAGGCCCACCAGTGGCAGAGGGAACCTCCGGGGATGTATAGGTACCGAGAGAGCCAGATGTGAGGAGGCAGGACCTAGCAGGATGGATCACGAGCAGTGGTCCCGTGGGGTAGGCGAGGTACAGAATCGGCAGGCGGAGAGTAGTCAGGTCACACGCAGGGTCAGCAGGATAAGTCAGTCCGCAGATAGGTCAAACAAGCCGGGAGTCAGGAGGGGAGAAGGCAGAATAGTCAGGGCAATCCGGGTCAAACACAGGAGAAGGCAGCGTAGTCAGGACAATCCGGGTCAAACACAGGAGAAGGCAGCGTAGTCAGGACAATCCGGGTCAAACACAGGAGAAGGCAGCGTAGTCAGGGCAATCAGGGTCAATAACTTAGGTACAGGAACTCAGGAACACAGATAGACCTTGCGGCAATCTGTGACAGTGCAGGGCATCTTTAAATATTGCGCCCTGCACTGTCATTGGCCGCCCGGGACGCGCCCCCGGGCTGTCATTGGCCGCCTGAGGCGCGCCCGCGGCTCCTACTGCGCATGCACAGCGTCCTGTCAGCCGCGGCCCGCCGGGACCTGGTGCTTGTGTCCCGGCGTGAGCCGCCGCTAGTGCGCGTGCGTCAGGGGAGGCGCCGCGGCGGTCCCTGACATTGACACTTGAACAGATGTCCTTGTTGGAAAATTTGTGCATGCAATATAAATTTTAACTGTGCTATGTGTAACTGTAAATTGCTACACACTCAGTAAATCGGTGAATACATATTTGAATGAATACCCCTTAATAATTCATCATTAATGGTGCAAAAATAAAAATAAACAATTCACGGTTACACATAGCGCAATTACATTTTAGATTTCATACACCTTTCGGTTCTGAATACCTGCAGATTACAATAGTTTTATTCACATTTTTCCAGTTGGCGCAGATATCTACACTTGTATCTTGTTAGAAGATTCCCCCTCTAATCCTGTTCTGGTGGGAACTCAAAATTTGTTTATTTTCTCTCACTTTCATTCTCGGTGACATAGACTGCAAAAAAACAGTGGTTGTAAATGCACAAGACTATGAAATAAAAAAATTGCCTTTTTAGTTATATATTATTTGTTTACATTTTAAGAAAAAGGCAAATACTTGGTGTCCTTTTTTCTTTTTTTTTTTTTCATATTACTGTCTTTTGTTTCCTTTTCAGGATCATAGCTACTTGTGGTGAGTTGTTAAGACAGTGTGGTGACTTCGAACAACAGCTGGCAAGTCGGTAAGCAAAGCATTCATAGCTCAGTCATGACACTACTCCCATGCTACATGCAGTACACCACAAGGCATTTACAGTTGGTGCTGCATATTTGGACAAAGCAGAACTAGCAAAGCTTGACCCAAAGACACAAGGAGAAGAGGAGTATATACAAACTCATGCTTCTGTGCGATTTTTGGAACAAGCTTTACCTCACACCCAGTGTTTAGTAGAACATGGATCCCAAGAAACATCGTATCAGATGCACAGTCTATTTAAGTACCTCCTGCCTGGCCTACTGTAGAAAGACGGCTGAATGGGAGTACTGCTATTCCGGAGGGATGTCATATGACTTCATCCTAGTTGTGCACCCTAGGGGGCCGCACAGTGTTGCATTCTGTCACCTGCTGTGTCCACCGAACACAGAAGATGAACCGGGCCAGCCCCAGTACCATGTGTTTGCCATGATTGGATCGCATGTCAAATGTACACAATTAATTTTTTTTAATCATAGCCATTCATTGTGTACTATTGTGATCTCTGTGATTGGCCACAGTGATTACATGGTACAGATAGGGAAAAATCACAGCACACCTGTACCACGTGATAGCTGTGACCAGTCACAGTTGTACACATGAATGGATGCCATACATAAAAATTGCTTATATATATGACCGTCACTATTACAAGCAATCAATCCTGCTCACCTCCCTTGTGTCACTATGGTAACACTGTGCTGTTCTAGTCACAGTATGTAAAAAAAATAATTGAAAAAAAAAGTTTTTTTTCATACTGTCACCATTCAAAATAAATTCCTGATCACTGCCACACCAGTCATATGATGACACTGTACTGCTCCTGTGACAGTATGTACAAAAAAAAAAATTGTGAAAAATGTTTTATTTAATTACTTAATGTTGCAAAAAATTGTGACAGAAAATTAGAACTTGTCATGCCTCTTACTAAATACCTTGATTTGTCTACTTTCCAAAATGGGGGTTATTTGGAAGGTATTTGTACTGTCCTGGCATTTGAAGGCCTCAAGAAATGAGAGACCCCGTTAGTACATCAGGATTGTTCAATTTTCAAATATGTATCCGGTAGTTTGTAGACTCTATAACTTTCACACAGACTAAAAACTATACACTGATTTGGGTTAATGTAGCAAAATACATTTTGCCTAAATTTATGAAGAAATATTTATTTGCAAAACGGAAACAATAATGTGGGGGGGTCATTTTCAGGATTGTTTTGTTTATATAACAAAACAAGAACCCAGTGGCAATTAAATACCACTAAAAGAAAGCTCTTTATGTCTCAAAAAATGACAAAAATGTCATTTGGGTACAGTGTTGCATGACTGAGTAATTAGCATTCAAAGCATGACAGCGCTGAGATCTGAAAAATGGCCTGGGCAGGTAGTGGGTGAAAGTGTTCAGTATTGAAGTGGTTAAACATATCAAGCTTTCACTTGTATATGTGCCAAAATGCGGTTTTGTTTAGTTATTGTTTTTTTTGGAGTGTTTGTGAACAGTCTTAATTTTCTAGTACTATATTCTACATATGCCACAATACGGTTTTGTTTAGTCAATATTTTCTCAAGTATTTGTGAACAATCTTGATGTTCTAGTGTTATTCTACATGTGCCATAATGTGGTTTTGTATAGTCAATATCGTTTCAAGTATTTGTGAACAGTCTTGATGTTCTATCTTGATGTTCTATCGCTTTTCTAGCAGTGCATTGTACACTCGCCCAATTTTTTATTCTAGTTTTCTAGTTTATTTTTTCTCCTATTCCTTTTTTGAGGAACACAGTAAGTCATTAACCTTCAGTTTATACTGCCGTCTACAAGAGAATTGGACGAACAGGAAAGCTGTAGGCCAACCCAGAAAAAAAACTTTTACTACCAAAATGCCTCGGTTTTTAGCTAGTGTTCTAGGAGGATGGACATCAGTTTTGCTGTAACAGGTACCCCCAGCTCATACCAGCTCCCATGCTTCTTCCAGTGCACCCACTGATGCAGCCAAAGTCCACAGCTGGGAATTATTTTGCCCTATAATTATAGTCTATCCCATCTTAAGAGTCCTCCCTAGCTCCCTTGAACTCATTTGCCCTTTCTGCTGGCCCAAAACACGTAGTTATTTACTGAATCTGACCTCAGAGGCCTTAAGCGTACTCCTGCTCCAGAATCTGCAGCTGATATTCACCTTTAGGACTCTGATTCTGAGTCACTCCTTTCCTTCCTGGAGGTGTCACTGTCTTCTGCCATTACTTCTAAATAAAGGAAACCTTTTCAGGTCTTATTTATGTGGTATGCACCACTCTGAAACTAAAGGATCAGAATCTTTCTTATACCAATGATATTCCAAGCCTTGGGTCTTTTAGAGCCCCTATAACCACAAAGATTCCTGATGCACCTAATGTTCCACGTCTTCCCCTGCTGAGATTGGAAACTCCCTGGCAAGATGTTTGCTTCCCCAAAGTGCTTAGCCTTCTATCTGTGTCTGTTTCAAGTGGACTTTGTAAAAAAGTGGCCTGTCCCCACTTGGATCCAGCAGTGTCAGACCTGAACAAGGCAACCACCATTGAAGGATGCCCAAGTCTTAAGGAGCAAATTGAATGGAAATTTGGAAGTCCACTCTAGAGCTCTGTTCGCACTGGAAAATCCCATCTGGCTGTGACCTTGCTTTGCCAAACGCTGGCTCATTGGGCAAAGTCCCTTTTTTTAAAAAGGCATCTTGTGGTTGACCCCATGGTCATAGAACATCTGGAGTAATTGGTTGAAGCTTTAAACTGTTGATGTGGTGGGACCTGGAAATTTCCTGTATAAACTCCATCATTGGTCTCATGTTAGTACATGTGTCAGGACACTTTGGTTGAAGTGTTGGACTGCAGAACCTGCATCTAAATGCATTTATTTATTCCACATGCCTTTTCAAGGGGCCACATCTCTTCAGATCTACTCTGAATGCCATTATCAAGGACGCTACTGGTAGCAAAATCATCCATCTTCTTTAGTGAAGGAAGCCTAAGCTACAAACCAGGAAAATGCATACCTTGCTGACAGTTAAGAAAAGTCCTTTTCTGTTCGCTACTCCATCAACATCTACGTCCAGTCCCCTCAAACTTGGCTGCTATTCCACCCACAAGGTCTGATGCTCAAAGTTTGCCAAACTTTTTGACAAAGCTTTTTTGCCTGAAGGTTTCCAAAGCTAGGGGATGTTTGTTAACATTTGCGGATACTTGAACGATGTTCACCTCAGATGCTTGAGGAGCTATCAGCCCCCTCCTCAGTTTCTCACGTTCAACCTTCTTTTGTGAAGGCACAGATTAGCAGATCTCTATCTAGCCTTCTCAGGTCTTCTGGATAAAGGTAATAGGGATTTTACTCCATCGTGTTCACAGTTCCCAAACCTAAGGGTGGCATCTCCCCCGTCTTGGATCTGAAGGTGCTGAATGTCTTCTTTCAAGCTAGGAAATTCCACTTGAAATCAAATAGATCTATTATTGCCTCGCTTCACCAGGAAATCTTCCTGGTTTTTTTTGTGGGTCCCCTGCACTTTCAGTTTATGGCCCTGGCATTCAGTCTTGTATCCGCACACCCTTGTTGTTCACCAAGGATGCTGGCCCCAGTACTAGCCCTGCTGTGCTCTCACACTGACCCACTCTGACATCCCCCCACAAATGGGTAATTTCTTCCTTCCTGTATTTTGGAAAATCTCCTTGACAGATGCCAGCTGCCTAGGCTAGGGAGGAGTCCTTGACAGCACAGAAACTTGGTTTTCAGAGACATTTTATCTCCTGATCAGCATATCTGATCTTCAGGTGGTTTGGCTGGGTTGGACCAACCTAGTGGAATGTCATCCAATTCAAATGTAGGTGGAAAATGCCACAGCGGAGGCATGCATCAATCCTCAGGGAGGAACCTGAAGTCTCATTGCTGCTAGAGAAGTACATTGAATCCTGTCCTGGGCATAACTTCATGTTTTTTGTTCTACTTCAATAGATTTAAGAAACTGTTACGTGATTTCAAATTACAGCCTTTAACAAACCTTAAAATAGAAGTTTTGAGAGACTGACCCTTTAATTTGAAATCTATTTACAAAGTCCACCTTTTGTTAATATTTTACACTGCCTCTTAATGCTAAATAAATGTATATTTTAACATTTAAAGCCTTCTGTTCTATTCATGTGTTCTAGGATCCTGTCCACAGCTGGAAAACACCTGTCTGAATCCTACAGCCCTCGCAGCCTTACCGGCATGCAGGAGGCAAGCAGTACAGAGCGCAAAAGCAGCAAAAACCCCTGGCAGGAGTACAATTACCTCCAGAAGGGCAACCCAGCAGAGTATGGAACCCTGATGGAGACATTGTATATGCTGAAGGTGAGCCATATCCTTCCCCCTATGCTGTCCCAAATAAAGCAGTCTATGCTGATCGCTGTACTCATCAATGGCAGGAACACTAAATTCTGACTTCTGCAGACAATGGCTGCATGATCACAGCATTTAGTGAACTTGGTTACATAACATGATCTGTCATGGTACACAGGAATTCATCACAGGAGTCCTTTAATTAATCTAAACTCAAACAGTTATGTTGTCGCTCAAAATCCCATAACATTAAAATTTAATCCTTTCTTGTTTATGTATATTGCTTTCAATTAAATAATACCAGCAAGATGTATCCATAGACATTTCCTGTTTACTCATCAATGGCAGGAACACTAAACTCTGTCTTATGCAGACAATGGTTCCCTGATCAGTGCTCAATGAGCTTGCTTACATAACATAATGAAATATCACGGTACACTTCATTCAACATCTGTTATCATGCCATATCAGCTTTCATTGAAATCTACCCTTCATACTGTTTTTTTCCCTTCCAGGTAACATAGCCCAATAACAAATATTTTCTTAGTCCTTGAAGTCTTGGGTCCCACTTCTACTGTGGCTCCATTTCACTGTTTGTTACCCTCCACCCAAGTTTAAAGTTTTTCTTCAATAATCTAGCACTTTCTCCCAACTATCGTTTCTAAACACTGTCCAGATACATCCAGAGTACATTGAGAAGCTATATGGTAAATCTATTACTTCTGTAATTGCTTTGTAATTGACCCAGATCAGCAGTAGGAAGCTTCAACCCCAGCATACACTGCAGAAAGGACTGCTGCCATCTCTGTGCAAGTGGTACATTATGCCCAATTCATGTGACTTCTGGCCAAGTTTACACATGTTTTTTTTTTCTTTCTCTGTTTTCCCTGAGTTATTAGAGAATTTAACTGTTCACCGTCCTGTTTGAGGGCTTATAGGGCTGCCTGCAGACCTCTTTAGAAATAAGAGAAATCATCATCAAAGACAGCGCCCATCACTTACCCCTAGACTTTTAATCTTAGACCACATTTTGTTTTAAGGAGTATGCACATCTAAAGGAATCCTTATGAAAGAACATCATTTCAGGCTGTCTGCCTCTCGATTCCTTCTTGTCCTTTTCATGCTGTTTTTCAGATACATTAGGTAGCAACTGCTGATTTTAGAGAATTTCTGAGCCATTAAAACTATATTAGTAATATACAGAACTCCAGCTGTTTCATGAAAGTGTGAGAAAATTTTTTTTTTTTTTTTTTCCCCCACAAAATAAATAGTTTTACTGAAGAACAACAAATACAATGAGTACAGAAAGGTAATGGGGGCCCGAAGGGCCTGATCATTAAATACAATCATGAAAACGCACAAAACACTTGCATAGAAAAGTGTTCCCAAAAGGAATGATTAGTACAGCCTTTCCGGAATAACCGTAGCATGGGTAAGAAGTGGCACAATCAAAGTAGATGAGATGAGGGGTCAGCTAATAACCACCTAAGTAGCACTAAGGTCCCTATAGGAGGGAGAAACGATAGGAGGAGGGTGAGTTGAAAGGTTAGTGTCATGCAATGAGTCTCGAACTTGGTGCAATAGGGACCTAGTTGATAGAGAACAGGGCTCTATGTAAGTAAGAAGTCAGGCTGAGGTTCAATTAAATGTTTGGTGAGGTGTATAATTAAGGTAGGCATCAGGGGTTAATTACCGGCAGAATGCTCAAGTGGAGTCAGGTGGTATACAGGAGGAATAACATCAGCCAAAGAGGTTGGAGAGGAAAGCACCATAGACAGAAGCAGGGAAGCATAAACAGAAAATAAAATATAAAAAGAAGGGCGAGGGAACCCATGAAAGATGGGGAGGGGGATGAGAGGGGAAAAAAAGGGTGGGGGTGCAGAGGGGATGGGTAATGTGGGTTAAGTGGGGTGGGGGAGGAAAAGGGAAGGAGGAGAAGAAGGGATAGGGGTGGGGGGAGATTGGGAAGGTGAAATGTGGGATAGGCCAAGTTGTAGCTAAAGAACATATGAGGCAGGGAATGTGGTGGGTGGACATAGAGGGAGCGAAGTACCAGAGACCATGGCTGCCCCCCATTTAGAATTGCCCCTCTTACCGTCCGATAGAGAGAGGTAATCAAGCGTGGGGTGACACAAAGATAATGGGTGGGTGTAAAAAAAAAATATATATATATATATATATATAATATATATATATATATATATATATATATATATATTTTTATTATTATTCTTCTTTTTTTTTTTTTTTTTTTATTTATTTTTTTTTTTTAAACAATTGCACTTTTACTATAAGTTTGGACCCTTGAGCCTGGTAGCATCTGTAACCCCTTGTCTAATTCTGGTTATACCATTGCCCAGAACAAAACCTGAGAAAACTTAATTCTCTTCAACTAAATATGGATTTACATTTGTTGTGAGCAGAGCAGAAAGGGTAAAGCAGAACACCAGGCACAAAAGCTTTCAGTTAAATTTATTCTGCACTAACTTCAAAGGATATATGCACTTTTTGTGTGCATCAAATGTCTTTGTTACCCAGATATTACCATATAACAATAGCAGTGGCATCATCAATCTGCTGTACATGTAACCTGTGCAGAGGACAGCTGTGGAAGGGGCCCAGTAGGTTCCAACCACTACAGGCTGCCTGCAGGAAACTACAGGAGGGGGCAAATACTAGACCAGTCACCCTGCACAAAGAGAGAGAGTAGCAGTGACTGGTCTTTATTGCAGGCAACTCCTGTACAGAAGTTTCACACTGGATTATTGCACAGATCTGGAAGAAATAAACAAAGCACACTGAGATTCAAATAAGAATAGACATGTCTCTTGTATTTAGGCAATATTTGTTTATCTCATGATATGTAATTAAAGCTGCCCATAGATGAATTGAATCTCGTCCGGCTCAGCAGGGACCAGCTGAGATTCGATCCATCTATGGGCAGGCTGGTTATACTGAAGCCAATCCATCGATCAATTTCAGTACAACCAGCCTGTCTGATTTTTTACATGTGATCACTGCCAGCTGCTATAGCTGCCAGCAGTGATTATTGTGTTCTGCCAGCAGAGAAGGCTCAACCGGCAGAACACAATAGAGCTGCAGGAAGGATTCCCCCTTCGACACATTCAATCAAGCAATTTTCTTTCTTTCCACCCCTGGTGGAAGTGAAGAAAATTGCATGATCTGTGGCCAGATTTACAGACAGTATAAGAGTGAGATGAATCTATGCCTTCGGAGGTATCAATCCCATAAAATAGGTTTGTTTTAGTATCCCAGTCATATAGATGAAGAACCTTTTGACCTAAAAAGATAGAAAATTATATCCTTAGAAGTGTGCAACAACCTCCCATAGCAACATCTAATAATGACATTTTAGATTTTTTTTTGTCTTTCTGTTCCTTACCATTGATGCCAAATATAATTAGAACAGTAACAAATCTTCAAAAAATATATATAATGCCTTCAAAAAGTATTCATACCCCTTGCAGTTTTCCGCATTTTGTTATGTTACAACCCAAAAGTAAATGTATTTTATTGGGATTTTATGTGCTAGACCAACACAAAGTGATGCATAATTGTGAAGTGGCAGAAAAATGATAAATGGTTTTCAAAATGTACAAATATCTGAAAGGTGTGGCGTGCATTTGTATTCAGCCCCCCTGAGTCAATACTTTGTAGAACCACCCTTGGCTGGAACTACTGCTGCACATCTAGAGAGTGAAGTTTTTACCCATTCTTCTTTGCAAAATAGCTCAAGGTCTGTCAGATTGGATGGAGAGCGTCTGTGAACAGCAATTTTCAAGTCTTTCCACTGATTCTCAATTTGATTTAGGTCTGGACTTTGACTGGGCCATTCTAACACATGACTGTGCTTTTGATCTAAACCATTCCATTGTAGCTCTGGCTGTATGTTTCGGGTCGTTGTCCTGCTGGAAGGTGAATGTCTGCCCCAGTCTCAAGTCTTTTGCAGACTCTTAACACGTTTTCTTCTAAGATTGCCCTGTATTTGGCTCCATCCATCTTCCCATCAACTCTGACCAGCTTCCCTGTCCCTGCTGAAGAAAAGCATCCCTACAACATGATGCTGCCACCACCATGTTTCACGGTGGGGATGGTGTGTTCAGGGTGATGTGCAGTGTTAGTTTTCCGCCACACATAGCGTTTTGCTTTTAGGCCAAAAAGTTCAATTTTTGGTCTCATCTGACCAGAGCACCTTCTTCCACATGTTTGCTGTGTCCCCCACATGGTTTCTTGCAAACTACAAACGGGACTTCTTATGGCTTTCTTTCAACAGTGGCTTTCTTCTTGGCACTTTTCCCTAAAGGCCAGGTTTGTGGAGTGCACGACTAATAGTTGTCCTGTTGACAGATTCTCCCACCTGAGCTGTGTATCTCTGCAGCTCCTCCAGAGTTACCATGGGCCTCTTTGCTGCTTCTCTGATTAATGGTCTCCTTGCCTGGCCTGTCAGTTTAGATGGACTGCCATGTCTTGGTAGGTTTGCAGTTGTGTGATTTTTGGATGATGGATTGAACTGTGCTCCGTGAGATGTTCAAAGCTTGGGATATTTTTTTATAACCTAACCCTGCTTTAAACTTCTCCACAACTTTATCCATGACCTGTCTGGTGTATTCCTTGGCATTCATGGTGCTGTTTCTGCACTAATGTTCTCTAACAAACCTCTGAGGACTTCACAGAACAGCTGTGTTTATACTGAGATTAAATTACACACAGGTGGACTCTTTTTATTAATAAGGTGACTTCTGAAGGCAATTGGTTCCACTAGATTTTAGTTAGGGGTATCTGTAAAGGGGGCTGAATACAAATGCACGCCACACTTTTCAGATATTTATTTGTAATAATTTTGAAAACCATTTATCATTTTCCTTCCACTTCACAATTATGTGCCACTTTGTGTTGGTCTATCACCTAAAATCCCAATAAAATACATTTACGTTTCTGGTTGTAACATGACAAAATGTGGAAAATTTAAAGGGCTATGAATACTTTTTCAAGGCACTGTATTTTTAATCTCCATAAAATACAATTCTCACCAGTCTATAAATAGGCCAGTATGTATATTTTACTGTAATAAAAAGCATAATATTCCTGGAGGCTAGGACAGAGAGCAAGAACAATTTGTTCTGTTTGGAGCAGTTATAAGCCATGGCTTTCATGAATAGCTGGCAACATATGCCATCCATCGACTCCAGCTTACATTCATGCCATGCTTCAGCTATGCCCGTGTCCTTGAATATTCTCAATTCAGGGAATATTGCCAGGATGGCCTTCTCATCACTCAGCATTGTTTTTGAGGCTGGTTTAGTGCAGGTTTCCATATGTACTTAAAGGATTAAAACAGAAAGCAAGAATGATTGTAATAAACATTGAACACAAATGAAGCATGGTGTCATAGCTTGATGAAAGAACACAGTCGTTTGAACCAGTCATAATACACCTTCCTTTCTATAATAATATGTTTGTGCCTTCTGGGTTAACTTAAATCTGTTACCAAAGGTTGACTTAACCACTTGCCTACCGGGCACTTTTACCCCCTTCCTGCTCAGGCCAATGTTCAGCTTTCAGCTCTGTCGCACTTTGACAATTGCGTGGCCATGCGACACTGTACCCATATGAAGTGTTTAAAAAAATTTTCACACAAATAGAGCTTTCTTTTGGTGGTGTTTAATCGCCGCTGGGTGATTTTATTTTTTGCGCTATAAACAAAAAAAAGAGGAAAAAAAAAAGTTTTTCTTTGATTCTATTATAAAATTTTGCAAACAGGTAATTTTTCACCTTTACTGATGTGCATTGATGGGCAGCACTGATGAGGTGGCACAGATAGGAGGCACTGATGAGTTGGCACTGATGATACTGCACTGATAGGCGGCACAGGTGGGTGGCACTGATGGGCACTGGAGGGTGCTGGGCATAGGTGGGTGGCACTGATGGGCACAGGAGGGTGGCATAGGTGGGCAGCACTTTTGGGCACTGATCATCAGTGCCGATCACTTCTCTGACAATTGCTGGTTATTAGCAGTACTTTCTGCGTGCGGAAAATGCAGCCGATAAACGGCAACTGCATTTACCGGTGATCTGCTGTGTCATTATCAGCACAGTGCCAAAACCTAGAGAACAACTGAGCAGAGCAGGGTGAGACCACGTATTACTGGATTTTAAACAGTATAGGCACTTATTATTAATGTTTTACATAGCTGCACTTGCAAAAGGGGCTAGCCTGAAGTGATCTAGCAGGACTTTAAGCGTAGGTCTGTTTTAATTGACAAATCGCTGATCTCAGGTTGAATGACACATCATTTTGGTTTTTTTTGTGTTTTTTTTTAAATGTATCTAGTGCCATTAAATTATGCATTCCAGCATACAGAAGAGTATGTAGACCACTGACAGCTGACTCACCCTCTGTAGATGTGAACAACGCAATGTCATTTCCACAATTATACAAACACATGTTAGGGCTGATCCAAGTGGAAGCCAATTAACTTAGGATTATATAGCTGTAGTAGAGCCACTCTGCCCCGCTGAAGCAAGCCTAGCACGCTTCACAAGACAAAAGCACTTATTTACTTGATTGTAAAAGTCATCCGTATATGTCACAACTCTCACGTATGTACAATACTCTAGTCTTCTTTGAGTACAAGAACTTCATCAGTACAAAAAAACTGAAAGTATAGAAGAAGGAAAGCTCATCATACAAGAAAACCTTTTTTTCAAATTGTGTAACGTTTTTACCTTTTTGTCTTTTATATGTTATTATTAATACATGAACCTGTTTAAAAAAAACAGTTTAAATGTAGTGTGGATCATTGTTCCTTTTCATACACCTCTTCCAGGAAAAAGGAGCTGTCAATGCCAGCCTTCTTTCCTCCGCCCGCTCAGCTCTAACCCGCCAAAACCAGGTAGCTCACCAGCTGGCCTTCGATTCTGTCTTCTTGAGGATAAAACAACAACTCTTGTTGGTGCCCAAGATGGAGGTAAGTTCTGCCCATGTTCTAGATTCTGCTCGAAGCATCTAAGGGAAGGCTCTTGAGCACTTACACACAATGCATGTTTCTTACCAATGTTTTTCTATGGGCTTATGAAAGTTTTTGTTTTTAACCACTTACCCTCCTGAGGATTTACCCCCCTAGCTGACCAGGCCTTTTTGCGTTACGGCGCTGCATTATTTTAACTGCAATTGCACGGTCATGCAATGCTCCACCCAAATTAAATTTACGTCCTTTTTTTCCCACAAATTGAGCTTTCTTTCGGTGGTATTTGATTGCCTGTGCGGTTTTTTAATTTTTTGCTCTATAAAAAAAAAAAAACACCGACGATTTTGAGAAAAAAACTATTTTGTACTTTTTGCTATGAAGCAAGTCCAGTTAAAAAATTTTAAAAATCAAATTTCATCATAAATTTAGACCAAAATGTATTCTGCTCCATGTCTTTGCTAAAAAAAAAAAAATCCCAATACATGTAAATTAATTGGTTTACATGAGTTATAGCGATTACAAATGACAGTATAGATAGTGGGATTGTTTTCTTTTCTACTAGTAATGGCAGCGATCAGCGACTTTTACCAGGACTGCGGTGGACATTCTGACACTGGGAGGGAACTAACTTGGCGTCACTGAGATCCCCAGTGACACCAATACAGTGATCAGTGCTAAAAAAAAAAAGCGCCGACACTGTACTAATGACACTGGGTAGGAAGGGGTTATCATGAGAGGTGATCAAAGGGTTAACTATATGTAGGGAGTGTTTTACTAGGGGGGCGGGGGGAGTGTGCTTCACTGTAGGCACACTGATTGGGATGGCTGTTCTGTGCACAGCCATCCCCAGCAGTGTGCCCAAGCTGACAGGGAGGAAGACTGTAAACAAAACAGTCTTCCTCCCTGTCCGAGATGCTCATTAATCACCAGGCGCCGGCGGGTAATTACCAGCTGGGATCCGGTGAGTGACGGCCGCGAATGGTGGCGTGGGTAGGGCGTGTGCGCTGTTCGCACGTACCCCCACCCGGAAATGCACAATCACGTATATATACGTGATTTTGTGCACCCGTTCCACCCTGTAGCAGTGTTTCTGGTATAGGGCAGTCGGGAAACAGTTAAATTCATATTCATTGTGCTTTTTCAACATCCTTTTTATAGAGGTTCAAGCATTATTCAAACCAGGAGTGCTGTAAAAATTTCAAAGTGCAGATTTGTAAAAAATGCATAAAATATGTTTTTTTGCTTTTACTATTCTTAATTTATTGAGACTGTTTTAAATGGACATTTCAGTATATTTACTGGCCTCGTTCACACAGAGCAAACTAAAACATACTCCCATGGAGGGCTATTTTTACCTACACAAAGATGCAAGGATTCTCCGTGCATCCCTGTGTGTAGGCAATCCCATTGTTGCTAGTTTGGATGCAGCGGCTGCAAGGACACAGACTCTGCTCCCAATCTGACACCTGTGCAGGTGCACGGCCCTGAACACAGACCGTATGTTCAGCACCATGCACCCACGTGGAGGACAGATAGGGAGCATTGCCTGTGTTCGTGCAATTCGTGTTCACTGGACACCAGTAGTACTGAAATAGTAAAACTCCACAGAGGGTGCAGCGCTACGTCACCAACAGTGGAACTGAATGTGCAAACCAAATAATCTATAAAAACAGTTCAGCATTAACAGTAGTGCATAGTCCAAAACAGTAAAGAGCTCAGTTCTTGAATTATTCCCAAAATCCATGACTTGTCAAAATTCATCCAGTGGACGGAAACATAAATACACACTCGTGCTACAAAATAATTAAATACATAAATGGACCTAGCTGCTGCCACAAAGAGCCAAAGCACTCTGAAAACTGCAATAGTAAAAACCCCACAGGATGTGCAATGCTGTGTCACCAGCAGACTGAACGTGCAAACCAAACAATGTATAAAAACAGGCAAACAATAATAGTGTATAAAAGTATAATAAAGTAAAGTGCTCAGTGCTTATGTTACTCCCAAATGCAAAATCCATTCATCCAATGGAGTGATGGTGTTCACAGACGTGCTGCCTAGGCACACTGCAGGTGCCCCCCAACTTCTCCCACATTCACCAGACACTATTGACTCCTTGTTTTGTCAATTGAGTCAAATCAAGCTTTTATAACAACAAGGGATCTGCACTGTTTCATATATGCCGCATATACATTAAAACGATCAATGCCAAGGAGAACTTGCCATATTGAATTATTGTTTTTTGAATAGAAATAATAAAAGCCAATGTACGTATAGATTGCCTGTATCAGGAAGTGTGCATTCCACAGTGTTCATGCCTAGGCCAAAATGATGTCATTAGTCTGCTGCATGCAGGAGGACGTCACAAAGTGAGAGGATGCAGCAGGTACTGACCTGTGTCAAACTGTTGTTTTTCCAGTGCTGCCCCCACAAATGTGCTTTTGCCCACTACATGGCACTGCTCTTCCGAGTCAGGAGCTGCTCAGCTCATTTCCTGTGAGCCCAAAGTGTCATGGGGGGGGGCTTGTCATCACAGCGCTCTGAGCACATGGTACTGCTGTACAGGTCAGTGCATCGCTGTTCAACTCTTCTGGGAAGGCTGTCCACAAGGTTTAGGAGGGTGTCTATGGGAAGGTTTGACCATTCTTCCAGAAGCACATTTGTGAGGTCAGGCATTGATGTCGGACGAGAAGGCCTGGCTCACAGTCTCTGCTCTAATTCATCCCGAAGGTGTTCTGTCGGGTTGAGGTCAGGACTCTGTGCAGGCCAGTCAAGTTTCTCCACCCAAACTCGCTTTTCTATGTCTTTATGGACCTTTCTTTGTGCACTGGTGCGCAGTCATGTTGGAACAGAAAGGGGCCATCCCCAAACTCTTCCCACAAAGGAGCGTGAAGTTGTCCAAAATGTCTTGGTATGCTGATGCCTTAAGAGTTCCCTTCACTGGTACTAAGGGGCCAAGCCCAACCCCTGAAAAACAACCCCACACCATAATCGCCCCTCCACCAAACTTTACACTTGGCACAATGCAGTAAGGCAAGTACCATTCTCCCAGCAACCGCCAAACCCAGACATGTCCATTGAATTGCCAGACAGAGAAGAGTGATTCATCACTCCAGATAACACGTCTCCACTGCTCTAGAGTCCAGTGGCGGCATGCTTTACACCACTGCATCCGCCACTTTGCATTGCACTTGGTGATGTAAGGCTTGGATGCAGCTGCTCAGTCATGGAAACCCATTCCATGAAGCTTTCTATGCACTGTTGTGCTAATCTGAAGGCCACACGAAGTTTGGAGGTCTTTAGCTATTGACTCTGCAGACAGTTGGCGACTTCTGTGCACTTCAGCATGTGCTGACTCCGCTCTGCCATTTTACATGGCCTACCACTTCATGGCTGAATTGCTGTTGTTCCCAGTTTCTTCCACTTTGTTATAACACCACTAAGAGTTGACTGTGGAATATTTAGTAGCAAGGAAATGTCACGAATGGACTTATTGCACAGGAGGCAACCTATCACGGGACCACGCTTGGATTCTCTGAGCTCCTGAGAGCGACCCATTCTTTCACAAATGTTTGTAGAAACAGTCTGCATGCCTAGCTGCTTGTTTTTCTACACCTGTGGCCATGAGGTGATTGGAACACCTGAATCCAATGATTCGGAGGGGTGTCCCAATACTTTTGGCAATATAGTATATGGGTTTAAAAATAAATAAATAAATATTTAGAGTACAGGAGGAGGTTGGACTTTAAACTCTCTTTTCTCCAAATTTCTTCTTTTTGTTTCCAGAATATAGTCAGTGTCAAGGCCTTGTCATAGCACTGTGTTCAGTTTACTTAGTATACATTGTAAAACTGTGTTTAACTCGCAGTCAGATATAGTTATGGGAAAGTTCTCATAACTTGTCAAAGTTCAAGAAGCCTGTTACTCCATTGTACAAGTTTATTGCAGTAATATATATGCTTCCCAAACCTACCCTGTGAAAGTGATGGTTTTTATACAGATGATTGCCAGCAAGCTTGAAACCGTTCTGTCTACTTTTAAGAAATGATTATTAAAGTGACTCTGTCAATGTCTAGAAAAAAAAAAGTGCATGTAAACGCTAACAATAAATTTCGTGCATTAAAGAGGATCGTCAGTACCTCGTGACTTTCCCAGCTTCCCTCCGACCCGACCATGTTTAAAGATCCAGCACGTGCAAAGACGCGCTGAAAGATGCTGCCGGGCCTTCGGAGCGTCCACATCCCTGAGATCTGGGACCTCAGAACTCCATCTTCATGCATGTGCAGGAAAACTCCTGCATGTGCGCAGACATGCTGAAGGACTCCAGCAGTTCCTGAAACCCTGTGGTACACCTGCGCATGTGCATAAGCCATTTTTGGCAGGGGAGCGCAGCGCCATTCTCGCCTAGATATGAAGGATGGCAATGCTGCGTTGTAGCACTAAATGTCAAAAACACTTTTTATAATCTAATTGTGGAAGAGAGGGGGGAGGAACAAGACGCTTTAATTCTATTGGTCAGTTAAATATACCACTGAAAGCGTTTTGTTGTATCTGGTCAACTACAATATTGGTTGATCCTGCCAGAAATCTTGAGAGCTGATAACATCCTATACACTTTGTCTGTGCAGACTGTTATTAGCTTGCATTGTTCCATTTCTTTCTGTGGACTGCAGACCCCCCCCCCCCTTACATGTTGGAGAAGATTAGAGGAGGAGTTCTGTAGTCCTAGCACACTCTTTGCTTAAGGTTGACAGTATGCTCTGCCTCAGATATAGTATAGTGAATGACCATTGCCCCCCTTGGATAGTATATTTCTCAGGATCACCAGGTGAAAATAATGGAAAAATAGTCTGAACAAAAGAAAACTAATGCAGCCACTGCATCAAAGGGATGGTAAATTGCTAAATATTAAAGTATAGCTCTGTCCAAAACGTTTTTTTAGCTTTGGACAGAGTGGAAAGGATTAGAACCCTCCTGTCAGAATGTCAGTTTTTATTGCTGTTTGTGTTCCGTTAAGGATTCTCTTTCCCCATTTTTCCTGTTCATCATTATCTTTGAAAGTAAAAATAAAAGAAAATCCCAAATTTTGGGATGTCCCCAGAAAAGTGATAAAGGAAATCTTCCAATGGGGACACTAGTTCTATTGACCTGGAGAGCCCCAAGGAATTCCCTAAGTTTGCAGGGATTTGCGCTCACTTCCTGTTTGGCTATGGGACAGAAAGTGAAGGGAAATATCTGCAATGGGGCACAGATGATGAAAATAAAATCTGACGGGTTATATCCCTCTAACCCTCTCTTGCTCTATCCAAAATTTAAAAAAAGTTTTTCCTTTTAGTTCTACTTTAAATCTTTTTTTTTTTTTCGGTGTTAGATGCAATATAATACTGAGCTGTCGCTCCATCCTCGCTCTCTTGAAGAGCTACATACCACACCTCATTTCAATAGAAAGCTCTTTTTTTAGTGAATAATTCACAAATTAATGTAAAGCCTGCAAAAAAAGAAAAATGGCAAAATGTGGTTACTAGAAACACTTAGGTTTCCATTAAATGAAAAATATATATATATTTTTTAATTTACAATCTAAGGGATGTCATCTATATGCATATCATGTATTTTAAAGTGTGTGTGTATATTTTTATATATATATATATATATATATATGCACACACACAATAGCCTCTGTATTAGGTACATCTGTTAAATTGCTTGGTAACACAAATTGCTAATCAGCCAATCACATTGCAGCAACTCAATTAATTTAGGCATGTAGACGTGTTGAAGACAACTTGCTAAAGTTCAAACCGACCATCAGAAAGGGTATATAAGTGACTTTGAATGTGGCATGGTTGTTGGTGCCAGACAGGCTGGTCTGATTATTTCAAAAACTGCTGAGCTGCTGGGATTTTCACACACAACCATCTCTAGGGTTTACAGAGAATGGCCTGAAAAAGAGAAAATATCCAAGTGAGCAGCAGCTGTGTCGATGAAAATGTCTTGTTTGATGTCAAAGGAGAATGGGTAGACTGGTTAGAGATGATAGGAAACAGTACCTCAAAAAAAACATTTGTTACAACCAAGATATACAGAATACCATCTCTGAAAGCACAACATGTCAAACCTTGAAGCAGATGGACTACAGCAGCAGAAGACCACACCGGGTGCCATTCCTGTCAGCTAAGAACAGGAAACTGAGGCTACAATTCACACAGGTTGACCAAAATTGGACAATAGAAGATTGTAAAAACATTGCCTGGTCTGATGGGTCTCAATTTCAGCTGCGACATTCAGATGGTAGGGTCAGAATTTGCTGTAAACAACATGAAAGCATGGATCCATCCTGCCTTGTATCAACATTTCAGGCTATTGGTGATGGTGGTGGTATTGGTGGTGTACTAGTGGGGGGGGATAATTTCTTGGCACGCTTTGGGCCCCTTTGTACCAATTGAGTATCGTTTTAAACGCCACAGTCTACCTGAGTATTGTTGCTGACCATGTCCATCCCTTTATGACTACAGTGTACCCATCTGATGGCTACTTCCAGCAGGATAATGCACCATGTCACAAAGCTCAAATCATCTCAAACTGATTTCTTGAACATGACAGTGAGTTCACTGTATTCCAAAGGATTCCACGGTCACCAGATCTCCATCCAATAGAGCACATTTGGCATGTGGTGGAATGGGAGATTTGCATCATGGATGTGTAGCCAAAAAATCTGCAGCAACTTCGTGATGGTATCATGTCACTATGGACCAAAATCTCTGAGGAATGTTTCCAACATCTTGTTGAATCTATGCCATAAAGAATTAAGGCAGTTCTGAAGGCAAAAGGGGGGTGTCCAACCTTGTACTCGAAAGGTTTACTTTGCTCAATATTTTTTGAAGCACCTTTAGCACCATTTACAGCCTCAAGTCGTTTTGAGTATTATGCTCCAAGCTTAGCACACCTATTTTTGGGCAATTTCTCCCATTCTTCTTTGCAGTACCTTTCGAGCTCCATCAGGTTGGATGGGGAGCATCGGTGTACAGCCATTTTCAGATCTCTCCAGAGATGCTCAAATGGGTTCAAGTCTGGTCTCTGGCTGGACCACTCCAGGACATTCACAGAGTTGGCCCGTAGCTTTGTTATGTGGGCTGTGTGCTTAGGGTCGTTGTCCTGTTGAAAGGCGAACCGTCGCCTCAGTCTAAGGTCCAGGGCTCTCTGAAACAGGTTTTAATCAAGGATGTCATTGCTGCATTCATCCTTCCTTCGATCCTGACGAGTCTCCCAGTTCCTGCCACTGGAAAACATCCCCACAGCATGATGTTGCCACCACCATGCTTCACTGTAGGGATGGTACAGTCATATCAGTTCCTGCCCTCAAGGAGCTTACAATCAAATGTCCCTAACTCACATTCATACACATACTAGGGCCAATTAGGACTGGGTCCAGTGAACCTAATCTTTGGAGTGTGGAGTACTCAGAGGAATCCCACGCAGGTACAGGCAGAACATGCAAACTCCAGGCAAGTAGTGCCATTGTTTGGTTTCGAACCGATGACCCTAGTACTGAGATAAGATGGCATTAGCATACTTTTTAAACCTGTATATTGATGGTAGATGATTGCTACTTTTTAGTGATGGGATCACTTTCCTCACCTAGCCATTGTGTAGACTAGAGTTTTCTTTATTAAAATATTAAACCTGTCATACTTACCTGCTCTGTGCAATGGTTTTGCACAAAACAGCACTGATCCTCCACTTCTCAGGTCCACTGCCATTGCTCTTGGCTCCTTCCTCCTGTCTAATGCCCCCATAGAAAGACCCTATCGACACAGACGGGGTGGCTCGGCCCACTTCCTCGTCGCTGGATTTGATTTACTGGAGTGGAAGCCAATGGTTGTCATCAGTCTGCCCAGTGAAGAGGCACAGAGTCAGGATCATGGTGGGGTTCAGGCAAGTATAAAGGGGTTCGTGGGGAGTCTGTGACACAGAAGGGTTTTTGTTTTTTTTTTTTTTTTTTAACCTTAATGCATAGGTTGCATTACGGTAAAAAAACCTGGAGGCTTTAGAATCACTTTAATATCTTTTAGCCAGGAGAGTTTAACTACAGAACACACACTTTAAACGTTGGTAGATCTGACTATGATTGAGTAATGTCCTGTCCTTCAAAATAAAGGAAAACATAATTCTAATAATAAATAAAAAAGGACAGGTGGTAGCTCTTAGCTTGATAGAAGTCATTGTGTGCTGGTTTCTATACAAAATAAAGGCTGCACGACTTGGGGTACATGAAAGGACTGACAATAACAGTGTTTCCCAAACATTGGTAAGTTGTGTACTGTTACCACATCCTTTGTAGTTTCAGAGGGCCACCTGTTTTGTTAAGGTACTCTGTCTGATCAACTGTACCTGAAGAGAATGTGTGAAGCAGAGGTAAAGGACTAGTAACCAGTATTACTTGTAGGCTCCCTGAAATTGGTCTTTTCCCTGTTGCTGACATACCATGACTTGTTCCACACAGTGTCTGTTCACCGAGGTAGAGGCTTTGCTTACTTATGTCAGATGTGCCCCTTAATGACTTCCAAAGAAATAACCACAAAGCATAGATCCACGGAAAGGATGAGGCAAAACCAGTGAGGTGCTCGCCTGCAAGTCCTAAGTTACAACTTCCTCTCCAGAAAGGAGAACCATAAGCTTTCACAGCAGCAACATCACCAAATCTCACTTCAAATGAGACTAGCAGTGCCTTAGATGATCTCACACTGTAGATATACAGCTGTGAGTTAAACAATGCCTAGGATTTTTATATAATTTTGCTTTAATTTCTTTCATCAGTGATTTTTTAATTTTCAGAGCTGGGGATTTGAAGAGTCAGGAGAAACACTGACTGAAGATTTACCCACATTCAGTCTAACTCCGCTCGAGTATATAAGTAATGTAAGTGGTGCTACATACTACCAATGGCCAGACTGTAATGGATTTATCACTAATTACAATAACATTGCTGTTTTAAACTTGATGAATTGAAAGGGTTGTGCGTTTCTAAACTATGTATGGATTTTTTAAAAGAGTTGTCCATGTTAAACTGATGCTTCCATTTTCAGTAAACCGTGAAAATTAAAATCCACTAGCAGATTTTCAGCTATCGGGATGGCAGTTGAGCATTGGTACTTTAGATCCCAAGTTTGCATGTCTGCTCTGGTATTTAGATAGAGAATTAAATTAGGGAGGAGGAGGGGGGGTTAAGAACACTCAAGGCTGTGTGGGGAACCTTCAACCCCCCAAAAACAAAATTAAAGACAAGTGGGAATGGTGCCAAAAACTGGTGGGAAGATTTAATCACATAATTTTCAGTTTTAAGGGCCAAAAAAGTGGTACTTGTCACAAATATACCCTATAAAAGGGGTACCCTAGTTGAGAGTAGGATCATGGCAATCCTTTAGCTCTGCCTCGAACAGTCACAATGGGGGTTTATTTACTAAAGCTGGAGAGTCCAAAATCAGACTCCCTTCTGCATAGAAACCAATCAGCTTCTAACCTCAGCTTGTTCAATGAAGCTTTGGCAATGAAACCTGGAAGCTGATTGGTTTCTATGCAGAAGGGAGTCTGATTTTGGACTCTCCAGCTTTAGTAAATAAACCCCAATGGGTCTCCCATTCAAGTAGTAACCAATTCCAAATCTACTTAGTCTAAGATGAAACAAAATTACACTGGCAAGGCTGCAGTTCAGGTGTATGTAAACCCTAATAATGAGCTTCTCAGTTCACTTTTGTTCTGTTAAATATGCCACCATAAGTGTTTTATTACATCTCGCAATAATTGCAAAGAAATGCCAGTAGATCCTGCCAATAAATAACCTTGTCATAACCTTCTGTGTGTTTTGCCATTGCATCAGTTAGCATTGTTCACAGTTCTCTCTGTGTACTTCAGAACACCTCCCCTATGTTATATAAAACTGGAGAGAAGGGGGTGTTTTATAGTCCCAACACACTTTCTGTCTTAGGGTGAGAATGCTGCCCCGCCATTGATACTGTACTTTTAGAGTGGAACTACACTGTATACTTTAAAGGGAAAACTGGAAGAGCAGATGCAAAGTTAAGTGCTGTAGAACATATTTATTGAAGGTAGACCATAATCACATGTATATATTTATTTATAACATTAAATGTGCATTTTTTTTAAAGGAACAATTTAACTGAATTCTACAGTCAAATCCTTTTCTCTGCTTTATTAGAATACTTCTAGTCACTTTCATGCCTTATGATTTTAGATTGGTCAGTACCTTATGTCTCTCCCCCTGCATCTGGAGCCATTTGTAACCCCAGAAGACTCAGCATTGGAGCTAGCATTGCATGCTGGAAAGCTGCCCTACCCTCCAGAGCAAGGTGAGTTATACATGCGGGAGAACAGCACCACCAAAATCTTTCTGTAGATCGGTCCCACAGCTTTTTGGCAAATACGTGTGGATATCTAAAAAACTAAAATGAAAATCTGACATCAGCATGATGATGATCATATGCTTACATTATTTTCACTGACAAGTCATGCCATTTTGATTGCTAAATGGATTTTCCCTTTGACCTTTTTGATGGAACAATGTTTAAAATGGTTGTAAACTTTTTTTTTTTCCCCTCTCTCTCTTCTGTACTCTTCCTCCCTCCTCTTTCCCCTTTCTGCCCTCTATTCTTTATTTTCCCGTCTTTCTTTACTTTTTTGGCAACATCTCATTATCTCCTTATACTCCCTTATCTCTGAATGTATGACCTCTTTCCTCTATATAAACATTCACCTCGGTCACTAGTATTTTCTGGATTGATGCCCTTACCTACGCCTAACCGAAGCCATAAGCATCAGTCTATCATATGGCATTTGATAATTTGCTACATGTGTAGTAATATATAGACCTCATAGCCCCATTTCCTTGATGCCATGAAAGACAGATAATTCCTCTGGACTTCTTGACTCGAGGTTATCATCTTGTGTAATATTCTGATTCTGTATAGCGTTGTGGATTTCTCACATGTTTACCGCTTTACACCTATTCTGTAATGCCTTTTGAGAGAAATGTACACCAATTCTTATTGTTGCTATGATTCTCTCTTTCAATAAAATGTTACTGGAAAAAAAAAAATGGTTGTAAACCCTAATATATACCCAGTTAAGTGACTGTCCTCAGGTGATGCACAAATCCTCCTACATAAGTTGTACCTGTTTACCTGCAGCCCTTTCTTCTCTACAACTGTTTAAAGTACAGAAATTATATAGCTTGTCTGAATTTTCAGAAAGAAGGGGCAGGGAGCTGAAGTTACACTCTGCAGTGCTCATTGAGGAGAGCTGATTGAAGGGAAGGGACACACCCCTTTTCACACAGCATACAGGAATAGTGCTGAGGCTGTCAATCACAAGCTGTATGCAGGAGCTCTCTCCCCTGTCACCTTTTATGTCTTGGTGTCTCGAAGACTTGTCAGAAATTACTCATTCAGATTTTAAAAGGAGACAGCAGAGAGATACAGTGTGACACTTAGTACTCTGGATTGAGACAAGTACACACTATAGAGGGATGTGCTTTGTTAATATTTTATGTTTGAGGTTTATAACCACTTTAAGCTTAGATCTTAGTGGAACTAAGCTGGTTCTAGCTATGAAACTGCAGATTTATACCTGCACCTGTTTATTTTCTATGTGCATCTCTAGTAGTTTGAGGGAAAAACTGTACGCTATCTACACATGTAAGGATTTTAGTTTTTTATGTTCAGTAGATTTTAGGATGAAGCAATCAAGTATTCTGGATGCTCTGCCGCATATTCTGTGCCAGTTTGTCTAGCCACAGGTGCTGGTTCACCAAGCAGTCCATCCTGATTTCAAATTAAAGGGGTTGTAAACCTTTAAAAAAAAAAAAAAAGAAAACTTTCTCCCTGCAAGGTCAAGGCATAATGTGCTAGTATACATCACAAACTAGCACATTGTGAAAGACTAACCTTGAAACAAAGCCCTCCAGTGGCACGCAATGACGTCACTCCCACGGTGACAGCACACATGCACCGGTGACATCACTGGCTGCCAACCAAGTGAATATCTCCTGAAAGGTACACGTTTAGGAAATAGTAATTTAGCCTACAGTTCAGTTTTATTATACCTGTAGGCAAAAATCTAATTCAAGAGTCTACTACTGATTTTAAAGGATAAGTTCACCTTTTGGCCAAAAATAATAAATGCACATTTTTTGCAGATAAAAATATGCGTTTATTATTTGTTGAAGGAGCCTGTAAAGCATTGCACCAGCGGTCAGCAGATCAGATCGCTGGTGCCATTCTGATCGCTGGTGCCATGCAGGTCTTCTGCAAACCTATCAGTATATCCTTTTGCCTATACGGGATGTACAAGCAAGGAGATATACTGACAGGAAGAATCATGAACTACCATGGCACTCCACAGCGCTGTGGCAGTTCATTGAGTACTACAAGCCGACAGCTACTAAGGCTGTCGGGACTTGTAGTTCATTCATTCAAAGAACACTGAATGAATGAGACAGCCGTGTGGGTGAAGCCCCACACGGCCATGCTGTTTTTAAAAAGTGACAGCTAGCACGGGGAACTTCTCCCCATACTGCTGTTACGGAGGCTGCAGCATTGGGAAGATGTTACATGTTCCTCTCTAAAAATAGGTGGAACATGTTCCTGAAGGTGAACTTCCCAAAAGTGATCTTTATCTGCCAATCTTGTAGAGAAGGACAAACTGCACTCCAAGATAACAGCCAATAAAGATATGTATTCATCTCTCTGGTGCAAATGGCAAGATCATCTGAACCTTTGCCTACTAATGTGTTTAACTCGGCAATGAGCTTAATTGTAGACAATGAAATGATTTGCTGAATGAAACGCATTAGGGAGCAGAGGTTCAGGTGATTTTCCCATTTGCACCAGGCGAATTAATAACTATTTTTGTCGACTTGCATCTTGGTGTGCGGTTTTGCCTTTCTCTGCAGTTTTTGTAAATATTAAGATGAGCCACTCCAATGTAATTGCTGAAAAACACTGCTAAAATTGTGTGATGCTCTCCCTAGACTGTAACCGTATGATCAGCCCAGATAAAAGAAACCATGAGAACCTTTAGAAAATTATGAGAGAGTAAAGATCAATGGTAACCCTCCCAGTGCAGAGAACCCAAGAACATTGCTGATAATTGAAACTCGCGCTCTGTGGAGATATGCTGACGAAATCCATAGCCAAATATGATCACTATTGCAGATTGGTTGTCTTCTACACCAGAATCACCAGAACAGAGAGCTTAAAGTGCCATTTATGGGGCAGGAGCATACAAAACATTTTGGCAAGTCAGTGTAAATCAGGATTTGTAAAGCTGACCATAGGCTGAGCGATTTTCTTTCTTTCTTTCTTTCTCTTTCTTTTTCTCTCTTTCTTTCTCTCTTTCTTTCTCTCTTTCTTTCTCTCTTTCTTTTCTCTTTTCTTTCTTTCTCTTTCTTTCTCTCTTTCTTTCTCTCTTTCTTTCTCTCTTTCCTTCTTTCTTTTTTTCTCTCTCTCTCTTTCTTTCTTTCTTTCTTTTTTCTTTCTTTCTTTTTCTTTCTCTTTCTTTCTTTTTTTCTTTCTCTTTCTTTTTTTTTCTCTTTTTTTTCTCTTTCTTTTCTTTCTTTTTTTTCTCTTTTTCTCTTTCTTTCTTTCTCTTTCTTTTCTTTCTCTTTCTTTCTTTCTTTCTTTCTTTCTCTTTCTTTCTCTTTCTTTCTTTCTTTCTTTTTCTTTCTTTCCTTTTCTTTCTTTTTCTTTCTTTCCTTCTTTCCCTCTTTCTCTCTTTCTCTCTTTCTTTCATAGATGGAGCGCTCTTTTTCTTTCCTTTTCTTTTCTTTCTTTTCTCTTAATTCCCCCATCAACGCAGTGGGTGTTGATGGGAAAATCTCCCTGTGGAGCCATTGTGTTCTCCATGCAAGGGAGCACAGTGATTCCTGCTAGCGGCTATAATAGTCGCTAGCAATAATTGCATGTAAAATCCAACAGGCTGTTTGTACCCAAATTGATAGATCAATCAACTTTGGGTACATTCAGCCTGCTCATACATGGTTTGAATCTCGGCCACTCCCTGCTGAACCAGCCGAGATTCAAACCGTCTATGGCTGGTTTAAGGCTTAAGTTGGGCTTAACAGTTAGGTTAAAGTAAACCTAAAGGCAAAACTTTTTTTGTTTTTTTTTCTAGTTTTGGAGTGGAGATGGATTAGAACATCTGACATTTTTTTATTGCTGTCTGTGCCCCTGTTAGGGAGATTCACACTCTCTATTTGTCCTGTTTGCCATTATCATTGAAAGTAAAAGAAAATCACAAATTTTGGGTTGTCCCCAGAACAGGGGGGAAATCTAGGGGGACACTAGTTCTGGGGGTCCAATGGGACCAATCTTCCAATGGGGACACTAGTTCTGGGGGTCCCCAAGGAATTCTCTTAATTTGCAGGGATTTCCTGTCCCTACCTGTTTGGCTATGGGATTGGAAGTGAAGGAAAATCTCAATTATGGGACACAGATGGCAAAATAAATGCAGGGGTCCATCTCTTACTCTATCTAAAATAAATGAAAACAAAGTTTTACCTTTAGTTCTACTTTAAAGGATAACTTTACATGAATGAGTCCCTACTACTCCCTCTCCCCATCCCATAGATACCTTTTCTGCTTTCCTCACATAACCTCTCTCACCCTCTGCAAGCTACCCATCTCAGGTGGCTCTAGTCTTCTTCACTGAGTACTGTACATGCTTGACAGCTACTTCATACGACCTAATGGAGAAGCCAACTCCCTGCAGTTTTGTAAATACAGTTTTTTCATTAGGTCCAATGGAGAAGACGTTGTGCATTTGCAGTACACCATGACCTGCCTGCTCAGTGCAGTGCATCTAGTGAAGTAGGTTACCAACTTGTGGTAAGAAGAAATGGGTATCTATGGGATGGCATATGCATACTTACAGTGATCCAAGCTGAACCAATGCAACTATGCAAAAAAAGCCATACCAGCTTTAAAGGTTAATTAATAGGAAGGAGGTGAAGTGCTGAGGGTTTATTTGAGAAAGGGAATATTAAAGTGGTTTTACACCGCAGACATGAAATATGGACAAAGCACAACCTTCTACAGTGTGTACTTATCTCTATCCAAAGCACTTAGTGTCATTTCTGTCTGCTGTCCTGTGCTTCTGTTCTCTGCATGAGTCACTTCTGACAAGTTTTCCTGAAAGCAAGAGAAAAAAGGTGACAGGTGAGAGACCTCCAGCAGATTGACAGCCTCAGGTCTGTTTCTATGGGCTATGTGAAGGGGGGTGATGGGGGTCCCTCCCCTCCACTCTTCTCCACTCCAATCAGCTTTCCTCATTGAGCTCTGCAGAATATAATTTCAGCTCTCCGCCCCCTTTTTGTCTGACAGCTCAGATAAGCTTGATACATTCTTCACTTTGAACTGATGTAGAGAAGAGAAGACTGCAGATAAACAGGTAAAGCCTATGTAGGAGGATTTCTTTAATCTCTGTGTATCCCCTGAGGCCAGTCACTTTACTGGGTACATGTTAGACCTTATTCACACTTGTGCAACTTGTCATGCAACTTTGGACATCAAAGTCACATGACAAGTCATACCCTATGTTTCCTAAGATAAGCATTCATATATTTGCGACTTAAAGTTGCAGTGACTTCAAAGTAGTACATGTACTACTTTCATCCAACTTTCATGCAATTTGATGGTCCTTGACTTCAATGCTGACCCTCAAAAGTTGCATGAAAGTTGTACCGAATGTTTTACATGCAGCAGTAGTGGAACTTTGCAGTGGGAAATCCAAGTCGCACCCATCCAAAGTTGCATCAAAACTCTGGATCCACAACATATAATCACGCTGCTCATAGGTGAGTCGGCATCAGTGGCATGATCTCCAAGTAGGGGGTGCTTGCCCAGTCACAATGATAGGAAGAGTAAAAAGTATGGATAGCTGCACTTCCAATCGAGATAGGACACTATCAAAGGAAAAGTACCAATAAAAACATATGTCTGGTACAACTAGCTCAGGGGTGGGCAACTGTGGCCCTCCAGCTGCTGTTAAACTACATGTCCCATGAAGCACTTCAAGACTGACAGTTAAATCATGACTCCCAGAGGCATAAGAATGGTGGGACTTGTAGTTCCGCAACAGTTGAAGGGCCACAGTTGCCCACCCCTGAACTAGCTCATAGACAACTCTCAGTTAACTGTCTCATGCTTCTATATAATCAAAATTTTATATTTACTGATACTTTTTTCTTTTGTTTTATAACATTGTGTTTGGTTTTGTTGTTTGAACATGCTTTATGTGTATTTATTATAGTATCTGGCTTCGCAATGAACACATGAGGCGGAACTGGCCAACCAATCACATACACCTGGGTGGTCTCATCGTGTATATGGGTTGGGTGGCTGGTTTGACAGTTTGGTTTTGACAAAGCACAGTTTGTGTGAAACACGCTAGCCCTCTTTCCCCTGCTTGTACATCTGTATGCTCTATTGATTTTAACAATGAAGGCTTTTTTGGATCTCGATTGGGAGTGCAGCTATCTTGACTTTTTTCTCTTCTGAAAGTTGCACTCCAAAGTCGAGCAACTTGGGAGACCTACAAGTGTGAATGGAGCCTAAGGGTTTACAACCACTTTAAGTGTTAAGGAAAGATAAAGCTTTGGGTCAGAGCAAACGTGATGGTCCTTTTTGGAAAAACCCCATTCCAAAAGCTATTGGCTTGTCAGTGCCAAAAACAATACACCGGAATCTTTATAACTTTAAAGTAGCCGTTATAAACCTCTTAACACTTTTTAAAAAAAAAACTGGAGTTTTTCTTTGATGACTTTCATCTGCCAAGTTGTTTTAGAATGTTAAACACACAGGCTGCATATTGCATACACCCAGAAAACAGGCACATCCTAATCAAATATTAATTCTTCTCAGGCTAACCTAATGCACTGTCTGCTGATTTATTATCCTTACATTTCCTCTCCAAAAATATTTTAGTTATAGTGATTGCAGTGATAGGAGATAAGTCTTTTGTCTTGGGAGAAATATGGGTGTTTAAATTGTTGGCTAGGAACACTAGGTGCTTGGTTGTTAAATGGAATCTATAGTTTTTCTGACTCAAAAAGCTGGAGCACATATGCAGTCAAAGTGAAAATAGAATTCCTCCTTTGTATGGTGTTACAGTTCAGTGAATGCAAATAATAAAATTTTAAATCAGGATTACAACCGACATGTTTAGAAGGAGTGGCCATCGCAGCCTACCTATATCCTGAACGCTGGTTTCCATTGAAGAGAATGTATATTTAATTCACTTTTCTATAACACTCATTATTTTCCATATTAATTGTCGTCCTAAGTAAGAGTGAATTAGAGCTGAATATAGAATCAATGAATATAATGTCACATGGCTGAAAATTTCAGTTGGTATGACCAATAGCACATGTGTTTTAGCTTAATAAATTAACAAAGAATTTCGGGTATGGATATTTTCACGTAGTTACTTTGATCCAGGTTGTACCAAGGTAATTATCCATATACTATACCTGTGTGATTCCTCTTGAAGCTCGTGCTGTGTGACTGCCCTGCTGCATTATAAATACAGGAGGTTGGCTGCTTGGCACGGGAGCCAATCAGAGAATGCTTTGCATTTCTCTGATTGGACGAGGTGAAGAGCATGATGTAATCACCTCACCTCTCCACCTTTATCGAATCAGAAAATGCTTTGCATTCATTGAGGTAGCAGCCAACATTATTATTATTATTATACAGTATTTATAAAGCGCCAATAGTTCGCTCAGCGCTGTACATTACAAAGGGGGACAGAACATGTGACAGAACAATACCAATACAATGCAAAACATGAGGGGATTGAGGGCCCTGCTCTTTCGAGCTTACAATCTAGGAGGGAGGGGATAGTGGTACAGGAGGAGATAGCTGTAGGGGATGGAGTGGTAGGAAGAGCGGAGGAGGTTGGCAAGTTAGCAGGGGGTGGAGTAGGCTTCCCTGAAGGGTGCGCCTAAAGGAGAGGAGAGTAGGTGATAATCTGATGGGTTGGGGCAGGGAGTTCCAGAGGATGGGTGACACCCTGGAGAAGTCCTGGAGGCGGGCATGGGAGGAGGAGACCAGGGAACTAGAGAAAAGGAGGTCTTGTGAGGAGCGGAGTGTGCTTGCTGGGAGGTACTTGGATATTAGGTCAGTGATGTAGTTCGGGGCAGTATGGTGGACAGCTTTGTACGTCAGTGTTAGGATTTTGAATTGATCCGTTGCGCATCCGTTGCGCAATCAGACATCCTATGTTCACAATGCAGCAGGGCAGCTGCTTGGCACAGGACCTAGAAACTAGTGGGAATCACTGTAGTAGCAATGTCTACTACAATGATTTCCAGCTCCTAGAGGGATCACATGGGTATGTTATATCCAAGCTCAACCAATGTAAATATATCCATATCAATAAAGGTAAAACTTTTTTTTTTTTAAGTTGTAGATAGAGTAGAGAGGGAATAGAACATCTATTAGGTTATCAATGATGTCTGTGTCCACATTTCACCCACTCTTTGTCCTGTTTACCATGATCATTAAAAGTGAAAGTAAAAGAAAATGTCAAATTTTGTGTTGTCCACAGAAAAGTAACAGAGGGGAAATTTTCCAATGGGAACACAAGTTCTGGTGACCTTAAGGGGGGGGTCCCTTAATTTGCATGGATTTCCTCTCAATTCCTGTTTGGCTATGGGATAAGAAGTGAAGGGAAATCTCCCCAATGGGACACAGATGGCAACAAAAAAACTGACAGAGGTTCTAACCCCTACTTACCCTATCCAAAATGAAAAAAAAAAAGTTTTGCCTAGTTCTACTTTAATACAAAAAAATGACGGTAACAATTGTGTTTTAAGAACTAATTTCTAAATCACTGTAGCACAGTGCAGTAATTTTGCCCAGCTACTTGCCTAATTTCAATGTCTGACCTTGAGATAGCCAAGAAAAGTAGATCTCCATGCATGAAATATGGGAAAATTACCTTAGTAAGCAAGTAAAAATGTGCAAGTAGTGTCAAAATATTGCTGTCAGGTAAACATGACAAAAATATCTCTACATCCAATGAATAAACATATGATTGCCTGCATATACATGCATACAATTACAAAGCATGGAAAGAACACTATAGTTTCTTTTTAACACGTCTTGATGAAATTATTAACCTAAAATGTATGTAAATCTGAAAAACAATGCTACCTTTACAACGCCATTTGTTTGTGTGTTTCAGGAGAAGAGACGCCAGAACTAGACAACATGGCTGATTATTGGCTGGGATCTCTGGCGAGAGCTACAATGCAGACTTATTGTGACGTCATCCTGCAGATCCCAACCCTCACACCACACTCCAGCAAACAGTTGGCAACTGATATAGGTGAGCCGGCACAAATCTCTGTGTCCTATTGAACTAACAGAGAATATTCATACCTGAATGAGTCAGTGGTGTGACCCAGAGCTTAATAATAACCTTGTGTTACAGAACAAAAAGGCTGAGAGTTCTGTGTAGTACATATGCAAACTTAGGTTTGTATAGCTTTTCCCATGACACTGCATTTTTTAACACCCAGGGTTTATTTTTGAGTGTGGTACATGGACATTGGAGGAACTCGGAATACCTTATGAAGCTATTAGTCAGGATAAGAGGTCTAACTAGAAAAGCAAGCATAAAAATATGCCATTTCCTTATAAAATATATTACACGTAAGGCTGATTCATACTGTAACATTCAGCAAATCATGTTGGGGGCAGTAGTGTCAGGAAAACACAGACAAGATAGGACAAGACCTTTTATGGGGCCTGCTTGGATCTAGAACAGAAAAAAGAAGACTTTCTTAGCTATTAGGAACTAAAGGGTGTAGCATGAAGGTAAATTCCCTTTCTCATTTGTTGAGAGACGGGAAGTCCTAAACCCTCAGTTTTACTGCTGCCCAAAAACTGTAGGCCAGCCTAGGATGACTCCTTCCACTGCCAGCATGCCTCAGTTTTTTGGTAGTATCCTAGTATGATGGATGCAGTAGTGTTTTCTGAGAAATCAGCCAGAAAGTCTGATTCTAAGTTACTGAAATCCTTCGCTGATGAGCTAGGTGACACTTCCTCCTCCCCGCAGGAAGCCATGAGGGTTATCACCACATTTGGCATTTACTCTGGTTGGATTATAAACTGATCAAAATCTTCCTTACTGCCTCTAGACAAGCCCCTGGACCCACAAACGACGCTATCTGTCCAGGACATACCTGTCTCCTCCACCTTTATGTATTTAGGCATTAAGGTTTCCCCACGCCCTCTTGATTACCTTCATCTTAATTTAACTCCTCTTCTTAACAGATTTAAGGACCGGATTAAGATATGGGGTGGACTTAAACTGTCACTGGTAGGTCAGATCAATCTTATTAAAATGATCCTTATGCCACAATTATTATACGTTCTTCATAATTCCCCTGTTGTTATCCCACTGAAATTGTTCCGCATTACTAAGTCGATTTTCCGATCCCTTTTATGGCAATCAAAACCTCCTAGAGTTAAATTAGAGCAACAGCAGAGGCCAAAGGATGCTGGTGGTTTGGCCTTGCCTAACCCCTGGTTCTATTACCTAGAATCACAATTACAACATATTGCTCGGGTCATACGTCCAGCAGCTGACCTTGCCTTGAATCTTCGAGATCCCGTCACCAAGCTCTTGCAGGTCTCTGTGGGTATGGAGGTGGCTGAAGGTCTTGAAGCCTCATTTTTTAGTAAATCTAATAAACTTTTCCCAACCCACGCCCTTATGCAAAAAGTATGGTACAAAGTTAGAACGATGCAGCAGGTTATGGGATTTACCAGCTTTAGCACCATCTGGGATAATACACAGTACCCAGAACTAGTTCTATTGCAGTACGGCCCCAAATGGAAACACTATGGTGTTACACATCTAGCCCATATTTTTCACAATGGTAGTTGCGCCCTTTTCCAGAACACCAGTCGCAATTCCAACTCCCCTCCTCAATCCTAACAAGGTACTGATATCAGGGCTCTATCCCCCACACCTATTTTAAATTTTTTGCAAGATGTAACCTCGTATTAAGGGTTCATCTCCCAAACCTACACTATGCTGCTGAATATTTTTCTTAAAGATTACCCATTTACTGTAGTCTCTCAATGGGAGCAGGCTTGTTGGACAGTTGGATGGGGAACAGTGGGAAGAGGCTTTACTGGCGTTTCAGAAATCCTCTCTTAACGTAGCACAACGCCTCTCGCAGCTATATCTACTTCTAAGAGTTCATTTTACTCCTGTTAGACTGTTCCGTATGGGGGTGCGGGACGATCCCATGTGTACTAGGTGCTGCAGGGAGCATGGAGATTTAATACATATGCTATGGAGATGCTCAAAACGACATTGCTTTTGGACAGAGGTTTTGGCCACCATCCAAAGGGTTTTACAGGTGCAGATATCGGAAGATCCCAAATATTGTAGCGCTGTAACATGGTCTGGTCAGGAAGGGGAATAAATCCTCTGGAGTGCAAGTGGTTAAAGGGTAATGCACTAGGATAGTGCGCTCTGTTTGTTTATTGTTACTGCAGTCCCCCAATGGACTCCAAGAATAGAATTTTACATGCAGTATAAATATCCTATTTCCTAACAATGTAACCTATTGTGTTTTATCCAGATTATTTGATTAATGTGATGGACGCACTGGGTTTACATCCCACTCGCACTTTACAGAACATCGTCACACTAATGAAAACCAAGCCTGAAGAGTACAGGCAAGCTGCAAAGGCCTTACCCAGGAAACTGTCATCCTCCATCGCAGCCATGAGAAGCATCGAGTACTGATAGAAATTCCACCTTTCACAACATACTACCCTCCGTGTCCAGGTTATCATGTTGTTCTTGGATTTTTTTTTTCCAGAAGGTTTATTTTAAAGGTGATGGACAATAGTAGTGTGCAATTTCACCTGTCTGATCAAATGATCTAAAACACTTCAATCTTCACTGTCAATAAATAATTTTTTTTATTTGATGCACTCTAGTGTTCATTTACGTCATTTGAAGAAAAAGCTGGGAGAAGCTCCTTCACGTTTGAGGTGCAAGAATTGTACCTGGTGGAGCAGCTCTTCAGATTATGACTAGTGAGAAGTATGCTTGGTGGAGAGGTTATTCAGTGCATAAAGCTCATTCCCCAGAACATAGCTAGCATGGAGACACGTAGGAATACACTTGGAGATCACACAATTCAATTATAGTGGGACTCCAGGAAAACTGCTAAATGCTACTGCAGTTCATCCATAGGAACTGTCGTACCTACCAGAGGATTTGTAATTCACACCCCTAGTTATCTTCCAAAGGTCTTGTATTTCACTCCCTTCTGCGCCGCCAGACAGGCCATTATTGACTGTTCTATCTTTGCAGATATTTGTGTCATTGCTTATTGGGCAGTGAATCAGCAGTTCAATTATACAGATTTATTGTTAGTGAACAGAAAGTGTCAGAGGGAGCTGTAAAGCTAGTAAATACGGTTGTTACCTGCGTGGTTGTGTGGCGTGGGCGAAATTTGTGAGTCCCAAGTTTGACCAAATGTGATGACAAATCTTTTGGCAGGTGTAACAAGTCATAGATACAATATATAGAAAATTATATGTGTACTGTATATATGGTGCCTCCACATACTGTATGTATTGCCTACTCTGTACTATGAGAGCAGTTTCTTTACTTTTTCTTCCATCCATCTATAGGTATTGTCCATAGCAGTCAATAAAAAAAAATGGGTCATTGTCCAAGCGCACTGTGACGGCGTCCAACTGCGCTGAGCATACCCTTTGGCGCTATATAAAATACTGTATAATAATAATAATCAAACTGCTATGGGCAGTTTGATACAAATGAGTTGTAAACCTGGCTGGCACTTTAGTTAACTGCCCTCGTTTTTCATTTACTACAATTATAATAGTCTGGCCTCACTGTGGCTCACATATGTAAACTGTGCCAACAGGAACATTTCTTGTTGCCTGTAACCATTCAGTTTCCAGCTGTCATTTCTGCAGTCCACAAGGGGAAAATAAATCAAGAAGTTGGAGGGGTATAATATATATATATATATATATATATATATATATATATATATATATATATATATGTATGTTGTTATACATTCACATCAGTCCCTAACCCTCAAGGGGTGTACAATCTAAGGTCCCTAACTCACATTCATATACTAGGGCCAATTTAGACAGGATCCAATTAACCTACCAGCATGTCTTTGGAGTGTTGGAGCAAGCCAGAGTACCCAGAGGAAACCCACGCAGGCACAGGTAGAACATGCAAACTCCAGGCAGGTTGTGACGTGGGTCGTGGGATTTGAACCAACAATCTTAGTACTGCCAGGTGGAAGTGCTAACCATCTAGCCACTGTGCTGCCCCTATATATAGCTGTGTAATCTGAATTTTCTTTTAACCCCATTCATACATCTTATGCCTCCCTGATCATATCGGACAGCTATGAGTGAAGGTTAAATGTTAACTATCTGTTGTCACTGAAACAATAGCGCAAGTTTAACTAAACAAACAATGTGACATGAGGACTACCAATAAAGACACTGTTAGACATTCTTTCTGCTTTTTACAAGCTTGTCATATTCTCTATTAAAACTAACAGGTGGAAAAAGTGGATAAGCTCTGCCCAAGCTGTTCAGATCATGCAAAAAACACAGTTACTTCCATTGCCATGTCATTTGGCTACAGTAAAAAGACACCTAGGAGAGCAGAGCCTTGATGAAAATGTTTTTCTTAATAAAGATGTTGGGAAACATCACAAGCAGTAGGAGTGATGACATGTAACTGCCATCTGTTGTACAGAGGAGCTACCTCCAGTATTTAATGTTAGCTGCCCTTTCTTCTGCTAGCTGTTCCCTAGCTGAAAGTACTAGCCCTCTCTGTGAGGCAGTAATTGGCAGCTCAGGCAATAACAGCCAATCAGTGTAGGTGAAAGAAAGCTGGCAGCTCCATCCTCCGCAATACATTTAATTTATTAATCCAGGCGTTGTACAAAATATTACAGGGCTTACACATGTAGCCTTAATTATGGCTATGATTAGGCTACATGCCAAAACGCTTAAGCCATGTAATATTTTGTATCACACCTGGATTAATAAATTCATTTATTGCAGAAGATCGAGCTGCCGGCTTTCTTTCACATACATGTTTGCTCGGGTGTTAGGACACTACAATCCAGTGTACCGATCGCTCACCACCTCAATTACAACAGGTGTTTTCTACTACATTTAAAAGCAGAAGCATTGGGTGCCCAGTTAGCTTTGTGAAACATGACAAGTGATCTCCCCCGCTATGGTATTGTGTTGTAACAGTGGGACCACCACCAATGGGAAAACTGGTTAGCGCTGCAAGCTCAGACCGGATGCTGGTCAGCTGCTGGTTTGCTAGCATGCTCATTTGACATAAAGCAGTTGTGAGATCAGCTTCTTTCAGATGGGCAGCTGTACTCATGTGCCGAAGGTCAAGTGGTGTCTACTGCCCTGGCTGATCTCAGCTGATATTTGTCCCATGTGTATGGGGCTTAGGATACTGACCTGCAAAAAGCATAGAGATCAGGAATTCTGATATTTTTCTATCTCATTTACATGCATGGTCTGCATCTCAAAAAGTATTACACAGCTGGGCAACAAACCGTTTATAAAAGGAGGATACCAATGGCAACCCGTATACTTTTCTCATGACATGGTAACCTTAGAAAGGCAGTGCTACAGTTTTCAGTATTCTAGTTGAGACCTGACTGGCTGTTCTGCATAGTTTTACCTCAAGCCCTTGTTCATAGGTGCTGTGGGTTCCATATCTCACAATATCAATGTCCAAAAAACAATGAAACCACTGGGTATGATGTGGAATAAATAACTGTTGTGACAGACCCAGTTTGGACAGGGGCTTTTGAAAGGGACTAGGGGTTAGCCTTCTACCCTCAGATTATGGCCCATGGGAGAAACCAGGGACTTTATCTGCTTCTCTCAGTCAGAGCTAGGAAAAACTCAGATTCCAGGGCACATGGACAGTAAGCAAGAGGCTAGCTGCAAAACCCTCCAAAAGCCCCTGTCCCAGTTGGGACTGTTACAACTTTAATTTCAGACTTCATCTGTGCTATTAACCAGTAGATTTGGCTGCACAGTTGGCCATCACATGGGGATTGATTTGCATGGCTCTGCCAATTATCCTGCAATGAGAAAAAAAAAAACCCTTTTGTTGACTGGTGAAGAAAATTATGACAAAGATAACTTTGGTGTTAAAGTATCATTGTACTTCAGTGTGATTATGCTGAGTTACAGAACCAGGAACTTTTCCCTTTGTCCAAAATTATGTGGCAGTGAAATGTCACTGAACAATACAACAATCTGTACACTGTTGAGACAAAATGAACAGAGTTCACAGTTCAGGGCACATTTAGGAAGATTCTGAAGAAGAGGCTGTGTGACACTGAGTATAGTGCACTTCAAAGATCTCAGCAGAGCAGGGCAGGTACATAGATACAGTACTTTTACAGAACTGGTGGAGGATCAGGATTATTATCAGGGCATGTGCACCCTAAAGGTCTCCTTACTGTATACTGTAAGTGTACTGTAGGGTCTACTTTATTTGAAAGCACCAACACTGGGATACATGTTGAAATTACCAAATAAAGCTATAAGCTAACCTTGCTTTTATCACCAAACTGATTTCATTCCCATTCAAAACTGATATCTCTAAACTAAACTTAAAAGCCAAGTTCACTTTTTATAATATGATATATGTTACACCCATGTTACTGCTGCAGTTGCCCCCACACCCAACCCCCCCCTCTCCCAAGTCCCCCCTGTGACAGCAGACCCACTGTCACAATATAGAACACAAGGAGACACCTCTAAGTGCAGTATTAAAAACAATTTAATGAACCATAAGTGTAGCACTCACATGTATGAAGAAGCAAGAAACATTGTAAAGTGTTATAGATGACTCAAGTGAAGGGGACCACAGCCACTTGTCAGATGGTATGTCTGTAGCGGCATCCAGGACCAGATTATTATTATTATTATACAGTATTTATAAAGCGCCAATAGTTCACTCAGCGCTGTACATTACAAAGGGGGACAGAACATGTGACAGAACAATAACAATACAATACAAAACATGAGGGGATCGAGGGCCCTGCTCTTTCGAGCTTACAATCTAGGAGATGGAGCCGAGAGACAAGTCGGACGTCTGCGCTCCATGGAAAGCACCGGCTCCTATGGTTGTGATGGAACACAGAACCGGAAGTGACGTCAAGAACCACCGTGGACCGCACGACTGGAAGTGGCGTCAAGGAAGTTGGGTCCTTAGCCTGGGTAACGCGTTTCAGAGCACTAATCCACTCCTTTGTCAAGCCTGATTGGCTAAGGCAACAACTCCCATTTATATTGGTGCATAAGCCTATATGGGCGGGGTTAGGGCAGTCTTAGCACACATCTCAGGAGGATCGTCAGAGACGAATAGAGTCAATATGTCTATCATTATGCTTTCATCACGGAGTTCCATTCAAACATAACAATGCAGTAAAATAAAAACCATATGATATGTATGTACATATATACAAGCGCGCATAGGCAAAGTACATAAGAATTAAAAAATATATATAAAAAAGATACATGGCTTTATGGAAAGAATACAAAGGAGACATAAAAGGATATGAAACAAAAAAGATATAGTGCAGTTATGGGATCTGGCACTACTTACCAATATGAAGGGTAACTAAAAAATATTAATATTGATAATAAGTTATAATAAATACGTATTCTGATTTTAGAAGGTATTAT